CAACAAATTGCATTTATATAGCGCCTTTCACTTCAGGAGGATGTCCCAAGGTGCTGGATAGTCAAGGGTTTGCAACTGAGCTACAGGTTGGAGTTCCAGAGGGTGAGAGCGGAAAGGCTAAAGGTCCAACCTCCAATGGTGGAGCAGGCAGGACGGGGAACGTGAAGCAAGCCAGTAACAACAACTTGCATTTATATAATGCCCCTCACACAGGGTAGCATTCCAGAGCACTTAAAAAGTCTCTGGGATGCTACCAAGGGTCTCAGTACCTTCGAGCGGAGGTTGGTAGGGTTTTAGAGGCCACGGAAGTAGGGAGAGAGCAAGACCATGTAGGCTTTAAAGGTGAAGACGAGGAATTGTCCAATCTGAAATATCCTGTATAGGTGCAAGGTGTTGTCATTTGACTCCTTTTGGCTTCCACTGGAATATAGTGCAATGGGCTCCTCCAGTACCTTGTCCAAACACCACTCGGGGGTGGGGCGGGGGGGGGAGAAGGGGAGGGGACCATTGCAGCCCAGCCCCAATCCTGTCCTTGACCGATGCCCACACATCGTCAGCTAGTCATCTCTGTACAAAAATCAGGAGGAGGCCCCCTCTCCCTTCCCTGAGCCAGGAAGCGATGAAGACAAAGACCAGACCTGGCTCAAATCTATCTTAACAGTGCATCAGTAGATCTGGCTAAACCTTATCAAAACTTGCCGCTCGACCCTCGCCTCTGCTAAATAATCCTTCTACTCCAAGACAATCTTGAAGACCAAGGACGACCCCAAGTTCCTCTTCTCCATCACCTACTGGCTCCGCCATGCACCCGCTCACGCCTCACCCACCCTCTCCTCCAACGCCAACTGCGAGGAGATGCTGAACTTCCTCAAAACTAAAGTTGAGGGGATCCGCTCAGCTGCCTCTGCCCTTCTGACTACTACCCTCTCCCCATCTCCCCCACACCCCAGCCCCTACCCATCCCTCCCTCCACACCTTCGAACCTGTCTTCCCTCCTCTCTCACAATCACTATAACCCACATGAAACCGATCACCAGCTCCCTCGACCCCATCCCTACCCCTCTCTTTACCTCCCAGCTCCACCTCCTTGCCCCCTACTCACAGACATCATAAGCCTCTCCCTGTCCACTGGCACCATTCCCACCACTTAAAAATCGTCATCACTCCTATCCTTAAAAAATCCTCCCTGGACCCATCCCTGCTCTTAAATTACCGTCCCATCGCCAACCTCCCTTTCCTTTCCAACGTCCTGAAATGAGTTGTTGATTCCCAGTTTCACTGCTTCCTCTCCCACCACTTCCTTCACGAACCCCTTCAATCGGGTTTCCATTCTGCCCACAGCACAGAAAGAGCTTTGGTTAAAGTGACAAATGACATTCTGTCCATCTGTGACCAGGGCTCCCTCTGCCTCCACATCCTCCTTGACCTCTCTGCTGCCTTCGATACAGTTGACCATTCTATCCTCCTCCGCTGTCTCTCCTCTCACCTCAACCTTCACGGTTCGGTCTTTGAATGGTTCAGATCCTACCTCTCACGCCGTCTCCACATCATCTCCAAAAACGGCTTCTCCTCTAGCCCCCGCACTGTCTCGTGTGGCATTCCTCAAGGCTATGTCCTTGGTTCCCTCCTCTTCAATATCTATATGCTCCCTCTTGGTGACATCATCCGCAGACGTGGGGTCAACTTTCAAATGTATGCGGATGACATACAACTCTATCTCTCTGCCTCCACCCTCGACTCCAGGATCACTGCTGTCCTGAATGACATCAAGTCCTGGATGAGAGCTAACTTTCTACAGTTGAACATCAACAAGACCGAGGCTCTCCTGATTGGCTCCTATCAGCGCCTCTAGGCGCTGACAACATCACCATCCAAGGATGCACACTCCACCTTACTAAGCCGGTCCAGAAATTTGGCGCCTTGTTTGACCTTCAACTGTCCTTTCTACCCCACATCCATGCCATAACCCGCTCTGCTGTCCCCCACCTCCACAACATTGTCCAGCTCCGCTACTGTCTCACACCCCAGGCCGCCAAGAACCTCATACACGCATTCATAACATACAGGATTGACTACGCAAATTCCCTGCTTATCGGCCTCCCTAACTCCTCCCTCCACAGGCTGCAGATCATCCAGAACTCTGCAGTACATGGCCTCTCCCATACCAGGCTTCACGGTCCTATCTCCCCCATTCTAGCCCGACATCATCACACAGAGGTTACAGTTTCAAGATTGTAGTCCTCATTTTCAACACCCTCAATGACCTTGCTTCCCCCTAGCTCTGCAACCTCTTATCCACCTACCAACCTGCTCGCTCCCTCCGCTCAGCTTGCTCCAGCCTGCTTCACATCCCACCTTGCCCGCCCCACCATTGGCGGGTATTCAGCCACTCTGTCCCCGCCCTCTGGAACTCCATCCCGCAGTCCCTCCGCCTCGACCCCTTCCTTGCCTCCTTCAAGACCCATCTTAAGACCCTCCTTTTCGACCGTGCCTTTGGTCACCCTTCTTCCCCGACTGCCCTCCACCCTCCCCGATCCCAACCCCCAGCTTAGGTCCGAAACACTGATTGACCAGTACCTTGGGACTTCCTCCCGAAGTGAAAGACACTACACAAATGTAATTTTGTTGTTGTTGAAATCAGGAAGCATTTTTTCCAGGCAAAGGGTATTGGAAATCTGGAACTCTCTCCCCCAAAAGGTTGTAGATGCTGGATCAATTCAAACTTTCAAGACCAAGGAGGAATAGATTTTTATCAGATAAGGATATCAGGAGATATGGAGCGTGGCAGGTAATTGGAGTTGAGGATCAGGATTAGATCAGCGGAACAGGCTCAATGGGCCAAATGGCCTGTTCCTATGTTCCTCTACTCCTCCCTCCCCCTCCACTTGTTTCTAAATAATAAATAATAATAATCCTTGATTTAATGTGGTGTTGATAACATCAAAACATTTCAATGCGTTTCACAGAGAATGGTTATCAAGAGTAGCAACTGTGTATTTGCAAGGCAAATAGGGCAGCCAATGTTATAATAATCTGTGCATTTGATTTAGCTCCTGATCACATCGTTGAGACATACCGAAGCACTTCATAGGATACACTGAGTGAAACAAGACAGCCAGTTTCCGCAGAGCAATGTCCCACAAGCAGCCATGAAGTGAGTGACCAATTTACCTGGAGGATTCTTGACTAGGACCAGACAAAGCACCAGTTTCTTTTGATCTTTAATGTCCACTGAGCAGGACTGTGTTAAACCTCTCATCCAAAAGGACATGAATTTTGACAATGCTCCAGTTCTTATCAGCATATCAGCCTTGGCAATGAGCTCAAAGGTCCCATGTAGTGTTTGAAGCCACAGCCTTGTGACCTAGCAGCGAAACAAATTTAGCCAAGCTGACACAATACTGCGACATCCTTTCCAGAACGGGCAGCAAGAGCTGGCTGCATCCTACACAGTTCAGGTTTCCATCTTTTAATAACCAACTTACTCTGGTTGCCAAGTCTGCCTTGGATCTGATCCAGCCTCTGATACTGACAGTATAATACACAGCTTTGCACCAGATATGAAAGGATGCAATATTTGTGACCTGGAGCCGTATGGTAAAAAAAAATAAACTCTTGGAGTAAAGGGGGGGGGGATACAACTCACAAATCTGGGGTTGTAGGTCAACGAGAAACATTTGCTAAAAGATACAAATGCAACAAATTACTCTCAAGTACCGTACTGTTCTTTGGTGTCAGCCTGGCTCACTCGGCGTCAGCCTGGCTCACTGTGCATCAGCCTGGCTCACTCTGTAACATTCCCATCTTGGAGTCAGAAGTCCATGGATCCAAGTCCCACATTGGAATTTGGAGTTCCCAGTCCAGGCTGACGCTCCAGCGCATGACTGAGAAGGGGGCGTTGCATTGTGTCAGAGACATCGTCCTTTGAACGAGACATTAAACCCAGATCCCGCCTGACTGTTCAGGCAGATCGTGTGATGCTACTCAAAAAAGCAAGGAGTTTCTCAGCAGGGTCTTTCCTCCTCTCTTTAACCCTGAGTCTCTGCCTCTCTCTGTACCCCATTTGTCTCTCTCTCTCGACACGCCCCCTTGCCTCTGCCCCACCTTGCCTCTGCACCCCCCCATCTTGCCTCTGCCCCTCCCACCTTGCCTCTGCCCCCCCATCTTGCCTCTGCCCCCCCCACCTTGCCTCTGCCCCCCCACCTTGCCTCTGCCCCCCCCACCTTGCCTCTGCCCCCCCACACCTTGCCTCTGCCCCTTTCCCCACCCTTGTCTCTCCGCTCCCCCTCTCTCCCACTTACTGTTTTACATTATAAACTAATAATAATTTCTGCATTTGTTACGCCTATAAAGTCAACAACATCTTAAAATGCTTCTAGGTAGGAGAACCCGGCAACAACTTTGCACACATCAATGTCCCACAAACAGTCAGGATATGAATGACTCTGGGGGATTGTTGGCCATGACACTGAACTTCTCTTTTTGAGTAGTTTAACAGCTCATCTGAAGCATGGCATCACGACCAATTCAGTGCTTTCCCTGCAATGGTATAGTGTCTTTCACTTCAAGAGGATGTCTCAAAGCGCTTCCGAGATTTACTGTGAAATGCATTTAATGGGTGTTTAATTGGTGTTTAATGGGTGAACATGGCAGCCAATTTTGCACACAGCAATAGCATAAACAGCAATGAAGCAAATTAGCAATTTCATTTGGGAGAATAAAGGGCAGGATGCCGGGAAAATCTCCTTTCTCTTTTTGAACAGTGCCACAGGATTTTTAATGTCCACCTAAACAAGCAATAAAGACCTTGGGTTAACATCTCATCCAAAGGAGTACAATGCTACCCCAGCTTATTCTGTATGAATTCCAAGTCTCGACGTGAAACTTGATCCCACATCCTTCTGACGCAGAGGTGAGAGCTACTAACTGAGCCAGGCTGATACACAGACTGCCTTAAACCTTTTCAAACATAACAGGCATGTGGAGGAAATGTTACTCACGCTTCCAGCCCAAAGATTGTTCCTGCGGCCCGATAACTTATAATAAACGTAAATGGTCTCCCCCGTTTTAATCTTCAGAAAGCGGCAGTCGGGACCTCTAAAGTCCTGCACTGCTTTGCCACGGCACATCAGCACTGAAAGAAAGAGACAGCAACGGTGGGGGGTGGGGGGGGTGGGGGGAGAGAAAGAAGATAGTTAACAAGATCAGTCCTGTTCAACCCACTGTACAATGACAGTCCCCTGCCTTGCTAACCACTCCTTGAAGCTGTAATAGCACCATATAACAACAACAAAATTACATTTGTATAGCGCCTTTCACGTCGGGAGGACGTCCCAAGGTACTGGTCAGTCAGTGTTTCGAACCTGAGCTGGGGATCAGAATTGGGGAGGGTGGAGGGTAGGGTGGGAAGTAGGGTGATCAAAAGCACGATCGAATGGGAAGGTCTTGAGATGGGTCTTGAAGGAAGCAAGGGAGGGGGCAAGGCAGAGGGACTGTGAGATGGAGTTCCAGAGGGTGGGGTAGGCAGAGAAATTTACAGCATAGAATAAGGCCATTCTGCCCATCGAGAGTGAGACTAATGCATGGTAGATTATAAAGTAGACCAGGCAATCTCCTGCCTAAAACCCCAATGCAATATTCTTGTTGATAATAATCTTTATATTCATCCCAAAGCACTTCACACAATATACTGTGAAGTGCAGCGACTTTTTTTTTGTGGGTGAGCATTTGAACACAGCAATGTCCCACAAACAACCATGAATTTAACGAATTATTTTATTGGAGGGATTGTTGGCCAGGAGACCAGGAGAAATTCTCTTCTCTTTTCAAATAGCGCTTTGGGATCTTTAATATCCACCTGAACAGGCAGACGGGGCTGTGATCTCACCCCCAACACTGCAGCGCGCCCAGCAGATTGGAAAGTCAGTCTAGGTGGTTAGAGTTCTAAGTCCCAACACAGGGTTTGAACCCACAACCTTTTGACTCAGAGATGAGAGCGCTACCAACTGAGCCAGGCTGACATTGAGGAAGGAAGGAGATTGAAAGTCTGGGAAATTGGGATGATGGCTTAATTAGAGGTGCAGTCTAACACTGAAACAATAATAATTTTTGGTAAGCATTCCGAGACACTGCCCCACGTGAAGGGCGCTATATAAATGCAAGCTGTTATTGTTATAGCTCCTTTCCCATAGGGAGGACGTCACTCAGCGCTTTGAAGGATTTATTGAGAAGTGGAGTGACTGTGTGTTTGAGGATTGGGTCAAATGGCCTCTTGGTGGCCTTTGATGTTCTATAATAATAATAATCCTTGCATTTGATATAGCGCCTTATCACATCTTTGAGATGTCTCTAAAGTGCTTCACAGAATATACTGTAAAGTGTACCGTATACTCTTTTGTGGGTAAAACGCGGCAGCCAATTGCGCACAGCAGTGTCCCACAAAGTCATGGATTGAGATAGGGAAGAGGAGGGGAATGAGACTGAACAGACAGCTCCTGCAGAGAACCGGGATAGGTTCAGTGATTCTCCTGAGCTGTACTATTCAAATCAACTTCCCCTTCTAGATCGCTATCTCACAGCAGCTGTCGGACGTGTGCAGGCGAGTGACCGTTTAGCGAGGAATGAATCAGGCCAACAGTCAGGCTCACAACCCGTGACGGCCTCCACAATCGAACAGGCTGGCAACACTGGCTCTCTCTCCAGCCTCAGCATGAGAGAGAAGGGCCTCTCGAACCTCAACACTGGTGGCAGGGTCATGAAGTTAGTCCATCCAGGAAGGGGCAGGAGGGATGGGGAGGAAACAAAGGGAAAAATAGTTGCTGAGGCTAGCAATTAGGAACTGGAGCGAGTTAAAAAGTTAACTTTCAAGTCATCTTGAAGCGTCACTCAATTAATGAGGAAAGTGTTTGGCTTGAAGATTAGGATCATTGTAAAAGCTGGCAAAAGCTATAAAACAGACTGGGGAACAGTGCCAGGATTAGCCATAGTGTCAGAATTGGCAGCCTTGGGTATGAATTGAGGGTGAGAGAGATCAAGGGTTATGGTGGAGGGGGAAGAATAGTAATAACAATCCTTACATTTGATACAGCGCCTTATCACGTCACTGAGACATCTCGAAGAGCTTCACAGAAAATACTGTAAAGTTAATTGATTGTAAATTTTATAGGCGAAACAAGGCAGCCAATTGCACACAGCAGTGTTCCACAAACAGTCATGGATTGAGATTAAATTAATTTTTGAAGGGATTATTGCCCCCAGAAAGTGATCCACTAATCAACTAGCAACTGGGTTCCTACTTACTACTGGGTAAGCAGAGGCGCATGGAGTAAGGAAACTTGCCTAAGGTTTCACCATGCCTGGGAATCAAACCCTGGTCCTCTTGTTTTGTGAGGTGAGTGCTCTAACCAATAGTCTACAGGACTTCACAAGGAACAGACAAGAGGAAAAAGGCGTTTTTGTACCACTGCTAATTGAGCTGTATAGAAGGGTGACGTATACAAAACAACCATATCCTGGATTCTGCAAATAAGAATCAAGGGAAGGGCTTACTGAAAGATATTTACCAAGAGCTGTATATTAAGAAGGGGAAGTTGGGTTAAATTCTTTCAATAAGCACATCCTTCCTAACAAAAACTCCTGCATTTGGATTCAATGTCTGTCATATGAAGTCCAAACCAGAATGCAACAGGCATCCACGTTTTGGCAAGGATTGTTCGTTTATCTGTCCATTATGTATTAAATTATGTATTAAATAACTCACCCACAAAATACAGTCAATCTTTACAAGATAATCTGTGAAGCGCTTTGAGATGCCTCAATGATATCAAGTGCAAGGATTGTTATTACATTTTTCCAAATGACTTGTTTGGAGGAGGAAGTCTTTCCCCCTCCAAAAAAAAAAGAAGTGTTAAAGAGGCTCAGGCTGGTATTCCCTACGAAAGTTTAGTATGAACCAAAAGCAACGAAAAACAAGGTAACAAAGCACGGTAGCAATCTCTCTCCCTCTACTATCCACCCAATTCTCTTTGCTCTCAAATCCTTAGCGTAATAATGATACGATGCATCTAAATTTTAAGCTACTTGAAACTTCCTTGTGTCTTTCTGCCTGAGCAAATCCTCCTGACCCACTCTCCAACGTACGACCTTTAGTGCTGAACATCCAATACATTCCTCGCCAGCGAGGAGAAGGGGAGATGGAGGGAAGGAGCGACGGTCAACAGAAGTCACACGGGGGGCTTTTTTTGTTGCAAAAATAAAATTAAAAAAAACATGTTTTGCATCCCTTGTGCCATTGACTTTTAAAGCGGGTGAAGTCAACAGCCACCGAGGCTCGTCTTTGTACTCACTGCTGCACTCCTCGTCCGCGCACCGTTTTAAGTCGGAGAAGAAGCTCTGCGGCGGGCTGTGGGGGCTGGCGGCCGGGCTGGAGAGGAGGCTGAGGGTGAGGGACACACACGCTGCCCTCAGCATCGCAGCCATGTTCATCACTCCTGCTGCTGGGCTGGGGCGGCGCAGGCGCACTGCCGCTCGACACGTCAGCAGCCGGCCGGCGAGCCTGACATCATGGTTGCCGTGGCAACCGGCCCCAACAGGGGGCTGGGGGGGGGGCCTGCGGGAGTGCGGGGGGGGGGGATCTGCCGGGACCAGGGTCACCCTGGCAACCAAGCCCAGCAGAGCATGATGGGAGGAGAGGGGATGCTGGGGGAAGGCGGCGACGTTGTTGGGAGGGGGAGGAATCTGTTGGCATCAGAGAGGGGTTAAGCTGCTGGGAAAAAAGGCTGTGGGTTGAAGGAGGGGGAAGATGCTGGAGTGATACAGCAATTTTTTGGGAGGAGGCGGAAAGCGGTTGGAGTGAGTGGGAAGCTGCTGGGAGGATGAGTGGGCTGCTGGGATTCTGCTGTGCTAATGGAATGGGAGTGGGAAAGACGGGCTGGGAGTATAGGGTGTTTACAAAGTCCTGTTACCATCCCCCCACCCCCCCCCATCTCTTTTTTCTTACAATTAATTTTTGTTTTCTGTTGCAGATGCGTTGAGTGCAACAATGTCTGATCTCAGTAACTACACCGTGGAGGAACGTGTTGTCGTCAATACCTGGTCCATGAACGTCTTTTTAAGAAAGAAGTAGATGGGTATTTGGGGAGGACAGGATTGCATGGTTATGGAGAGAAAGCGGGCCAGTGGGATTGAGTTGGATTGCTCTTTTCGGAGCCGGCGCAGACACAATGGGCTGAATGGCCTCTTTCTGTGCTGTATGATTCTATGAACCCATTACCATGCTTAACAGTGTCTGAACCAAACAGAGTTCCGTATTTGTTTGCCACCTAAATGTGAGTTTCCTCTGTGCTTGAAATGGAATGAACATTCTCCGCCTGGTGAGAGCCAAGGCTCGGGAAGTCCAGAGTGTATTTTGTGGTACTGCTGGAGTTTAACCAGCAAAAACCACTTAGCTTGCCATTGAGAGCACCCTTTGGCAAGCTTCCTACTTTGCACAAGTAGTGCTGTATTGACACTAAAGCTGGCCAATAGTAGCCGCACAAAAAACGTGGCTACATCTAAGAACATTGGTTTTGTGTCAGCCTGGTCTATGAGTTTCAAAGTCCCAAGGGTGGGGGCTTGAGTGAACAACATTATGACCCAGAGATGGGAGTGCTACTGTAAGCTGACAACATTTGATAGTTTTGATATAAAAAATACCCCACCTGGGCACTGATGTATTAAATGAGTACCTCGGAGGGTAGTTTTGGTATTTTAAATCAAAATGCAAGTTCAATCTGATTCCCTCTAGCCTTGGGTCAGTGAGCTCAAGTGGGAGAATTTATCTTCTCTGAATGTGCAGAGATGCTATCCTGCGTGAAGAGCGTTAAAAAATCCTTGCATTTGAAATAGCACCTCATCACATTGTTCAAACTTCGCAAAGCTCTTCACAGGATATACTGTAAAGTGATATTACCATGTATATTCTGTGGGCGAACGTGGCAGCCAATTTGCATATATATCCCACATATATCTGTGGAGTGGATGATCATTTTTTATTTGGGGAATTGTTGGCCAAAAGACTCTGAAAACTCCCTTCTCTTTTCGAATGGTACCATGGGATTTGCTTTTGGTCAGCTGGGTGCCTGACATTTGTGGAAACCCATCACCATGCTTAAGAGTATCCAAACCAAACAGAGTTCTATGCATCTCACGTATTCATGGAAATTCCTGAGATATCTATTGGAATTGAATGCACACTCTCTTCCTAGATAGTATTAGACACAGGTTGGCAAGATTCCAAAATTTGGGGATCCCGGATTGTGCACTGCAACAACTGCTGGAATGTAACCAGTTAAAACCACATAGTTTGCCATTGAAAGCCCTGTCTGGGAAGTTTTCCCGCTTTGTCCAGCTAGGACTACCCTACCCGTTAGGGTTTTGTCTTGCAGGGTTAACTGGAGCTGAGTGGGAAAGAGTCCCTGTCCCCAGTGACTGGTGCAATGGGATGATTATTATTATTTTTATTATTATTATTTGTAACTTCCACCTGGACAGAAAAAAGGAATTTCAGTTTAACATTTCATCCAAAGGATGACGCTTCCAGCAAGTACGTCCTCAGCACTACATTGGAGTGTCAGCCTCGCCTGTATGGGTTCCAATCCCAATGACCTTCTAACTCAGAGGCAATAGTGCTATCAACTGAGCCACACTGATATATTAAGCTGATGTTGTTGTGTACAGCTGAGGTTATTTTGAAGTTAAGATTTTTGGGAGTCTGAGAAGTGAATCAATATCTCTGATTTGCTGCATTGCTTGAGTTGAACTATCAAAACCACTAGGTGGCGATTGAATACAACACATTTCTTTCTCCCCTCACCACCTACTCACTCAAGACATGACCAGAAGGAAAATGGAGGCACACAAAGACTTGCTTCTCTCCAGCTCTCCTGATCTTGTGGGCTGTAAAATGTTAGACTATTTTTTCTTCCTCTTCTCTCTTCGCCAACTGCCTGTCAGGAGATCAACAGACTTCCTCTCATGCTAAAACAATAACTCACTAAGAACAGGCTGTAAGAGTAGGCTTCCTTCTCAGGCATAATGTGGTCAGGGGTAATGGGTCAAAGTCAGGGTTGAAAGGCCACAGGTTGAAAATCACCAGGTAATTTGTAACCCACAATTGTAAATACAATACAGAATTCCTGATGTCAGTGTTTCTATGTCAGTCTAGCTCAGTTGGTAGCAATGGGATTGACTGGACAGCTTCCTCATAGAGCTGTTGCAGATTTGATTGGCTAAGTTGCCTTCTCCATGCTGTAAATTTCTAGGATTCTATCATTCTAACTCAGTATATGAAGTGTTTGGAAGACTGTAAGTAAATTAATTATACATTCAAGAGGCCTGAAGAGAAAGTTACACCTTCACACGAGGGAGGGAGGAATAGAAGGAAATGGGAGGGAATACATGAAATGGGTGAAGACTCGTGTGGAGCATAAACACTGGCATGGACTCGTTGAACCGAGTAGTCTATTTCCATCCTGTACATTCTTTGTAAATTATTGGGGAAAAATTTGTGCTGTTTCTTAAAAGATTTCCTAATCAAGAAACCAAATGAGGACCCATAAAAACGGTAAAGGTAATAATCTTTGTATTTGTCAGGTGATCATCACAAAGCACTTCACAAGTCTTTATTATAAAGTGCAGTGACTGTGAATGTTATAGGTGAACACAAAAGGCAATTTACACACAATGTCCCACAAACAGCACAAAGTGAGTGACCAATTTTATTTGGGGGATTGTTGGCCAGGACAACGAGAGAGAGAAACTCCCTTTTCTTTTTGAATAGCTGTGGGGTCTTTGATGACCATCTGAACACAGGCCAACAGGACCTCAGTTTAGTATATGGAGGATGCATCTCCCCCAATGCAGCACACCACCAGCACTGCGCTGGAGTGTCAGTCTAGATTATATGTGGGCTTGAACTCACAACTTTCTGGCTCAGAAGCAAGAGTACGACTCACTGAGCGAGGCTGACACTACGTATGTAGTGCACATTCCCTCTGACACAGGTTGCTGCTTCAAGTCAATTTCTTAATTGAGAAATACTGTAAACTGGACTCCATGATTTCTTATTGCACAAGCGTCCCACCTAATCCTAGCTTGTAAAATAGTCTTGATTTGCAGACCATTTTCTTAAATAGAACAGGTTTCCAAATTAAATATCAAATTAATGATTTTTCTACATCCTACACTATGTTGGCTCTGGAACTCTATCCCCCAGTGCCTTCGCCTTGCTTCCTCCCTTTCCTCCTTCAAGGCCGGTCTCAAGACCTTTCTCTTTGACCGTGCCTTCAGCTCCCCTCTCGACTCTCTACCCCCTCCTCGCTCCCTCCCTTCCCTCCCCTCACCCTGACCATTTCCCCCTTGCTCGGGTCCTGACCCAACTGTACAGCGCCTTGGGACGTCCTCCCGACGTGAAAGACACTCAATAAATGGAATCTTGTTGTTGTTGTATGTGTTTGGCCTTGAATGATTCAGATCCTACTGTCTCCACAAACGACTTCTACTCCAGCCCCCGCACTGTCTCGAGTGGTGTTCCTCAGGGCTCTGTCCTTGATCGTCTCCAACATGTACATCCTTCCTCTTGGTGACATCATCCACAGACATGGGGTCAACTTCCACATGTATGCGGATGACACCCAACTCTACCTCTCTGCCTACACCCTCGACTCCAGGAACCACTGCTGTCCTGACAAGACTGCCTGTCAGACATCAAGACCTGGATGAAAGCTAACTTTCTCCTGTTGAATGTCAACAAGATCGAGGTCCTTCTGATTGGCTCCTGTCAGTGTCTCCACACCACAGGCACTGGCAACATCACCATCCATGGATGCACACTCTACCTCACTGAGCCAGTCCGAAACCTTAGCATCCTGTCCTTTCTACCCCACATTCGTACCATAACCTGCTCTGCCTTCCCCCACATCCGCAATAACACCCAGCTCCACCACTGCCTCTCCCCTCAGGACACCAAAACCCTCATCCACGCATTGATCACGTCTAGCTTGACTACGCAAATTACTTGCTTGTCGGTCTTCCCAACTGTTCCCTCCACAAGCTGCAGATAACCAGAACTCTGCAGCTCATATCCTCTCCCACACCATGCTCCATAATCCTCTCACCCCCACCCTTGTCCAACTCCACTGACTTCCCAACCCTAAGAGGAAAGAGTTCAAAATCTTCGTTACCTTCAAGATCTTGCTCCTTCCTACCTCTGTGACTTGCTAATCCCATATCAACTAGTCTGCTCCCCCCACTCAGCAGGCTTTGGCCTGCTCTACGTCCATCGCCTGACCCACCCAAGCATCAGCGTTCAGGCCTTCAGGTTCTCTTTCCCCCCCCCCCCCTGCCCTTCACTCCCCCACCCCCAATCCCAACACCCTGCTCAAGTCCAAATCCCTGAATGTCCATCACCTTGGGAAGTCTTCCCGACTTGAAAGGAGCCACACAAATGTAATTTGTTGTTGTTGTGATGTTGAATATCAAGACAAAATGGTTTTACAGGCTAAGACGATGTAGAATTTCAGATTCTGTGTACCATCAGATTTTTCCGTAAAATAAATTCTGGGAAGACTGAGTACACTGTGTTTTCCTGCTCGCTCCTGACCAATTCTCCTGTAAATGGCCTCAGGTACAGAAGATGGAAGGAACTTATGAGCCACACCTATCCTGTCCACTAGGGGGAAGCACCAGCACCTGACTTCAGCCTGTGTGACCTTTGAAAGTGGGATTTAGCCACATGAAGCTTCGTATTTACACGTAGGTCTTCTTTTAGCGCATAAAATCACATGTGTAACAAACCCAGGTCCATTGCCGTTCACCTTCCTGCGACATAATGATGCTTTTTTTTGTTCAGCCGGGTGTCTGACACATGAAGAAACCCATCCCCATGCTTAAGAGTATCCAAAGAAAACTGAGAATTCCATGCATCCCATCTGCACATGGAAATTCCATAAATAGATTGTTGGAATGGAATACACACTCTCTCCCTGGAGGGACACATTCTGCTTACCTAATTCCAGAAAGTTTCAGGTGCAGGTTGGCAAGAACCGAGGCTTGAGGATCCCAGAGTGTGGTTTGGGGTAACTGCATAGTTTGCCAGTAATATCGCTGTCTGGTAAGCTTTCCCACTGCTTGTCCAGCGAGAACCACCCTAATCATTAGGGCTTTGGCTTGCAGGGTTATCAAGGGTTAACAAGACCCCGCTCCCCCCCCCCCCAAGGAGGATAGATTATAATGAACAATGCTACATAAAAGTTGTTAAAGGTTTTCAATGAATTCTGCCTGTTCAGATGAATTTTACTGACTGATCCGAAAAAAATTATCACTACGCCTAAAATAATAATCCTTGCATTTGCTACAGTACCCTTCACTCATTAGGATATCTCAAAAGTGTTGTGAATGAGTAATTTGTGGGCAAACAGCAAGAAATTTTACATAGAGCAATGCCCCCCAAACAGCTACAAAATGAATGACTAATTTTATAATAATCCTTGCATTTGGTATAGCATCTTATCATGCTATACCATATCACACTTATCAAGTCAGGATTTACCATGGAGTAATTGTGTATTTGTAGGCAAATTCAGCAGCACAATTGTACTAAGCAATGTCCCACAAACAGCCATGGAGTGAATGACGAAATTTTATTTGGTCATCGTTGGCTAAGTCAACGGCAGAAACTCTCTTCTCTTTTCAAATAGTGCCAAGGGATGTTTAACGTGCACCTGAACAGGCAGATGAAACCTTGGTTAAACATCTCACCCAAAGGACTGATTGTTGGCCAGGACAATCTGGTGCACCAAGAAAGGAGCATCTCTAACTGTCGGGGAAATAATTCCAATGTGCATAAAATGGCTATTACTTTGGCTATATAGCATTTTATATAGCACCTTTCATGCAGGGCAGAGTCTCGGAGTGCTTAACAATACATACATACAAACTTGACAGGATTTGCTAAATGCGCTTTGAGATGTTAGAAGGTACAAAAGACAAATCATTTTGTGATTGAAAACTGCCTACAATTAGTCTCTCGACTTCACATTAAAAACCTGTAAAACGTTTTGAGGCATCTTGATGAAGTGATAAGGCACTGTATCAAAATGCAAGAATTATTATTATTGGTATAAAACAGGCGAGGTGGACTTTTGATTTGAATACAAGCCGTCTTTCTCTCTCTCTATTTCAATGCTACGGTCAGCAAACATAAGAAGGAAAGCGGGGCCAGGGGAGAGGGAGCTCAAGTCTGAACACGAGAGGTAGTGAGATGGGGGAGGGGAGGAGAAGCAGAAGGGCACTTACTAAAGCCGATTATTATTTGGTTTTATTCAGGGTAGCGTATTATACCCCTTGCTGCAAGTGTGGCAATTTTAGGAGTGTGGGAGGAAAGAGAGGAAGGGTGAACAAAAAACAGGTCTGGGATCCAGATTATTCCAGTTCTGAGCGAACAATTGTAGACACCAAAATGCAGGGAGGCCGAGAAAAAGCGAAGGAGGCAGGGTTTCGAATTCCATTGGGGGAGGGGGAAGGGCAGCTCAAAGACAAAAGAAGAAATGAAGGTTGAAGCAGAGAGCAAAGCTTTTTTTTTGTCCAATGTGCAGCCAAGCAAGGTGGAAAAGAGGAGGCTCGCGGATAATGGTGTGCCAAGAGGCTGCATTTTCCTCATTTCTTAATGAATCAGATTCTCAAAGTTGACACACAGAATCCACAGGTTCCAATAGTACATCTTCCTTTTAAAAAATACAGACTACAGAACACACTCAAATCTCTCACCCTTCCCGTAATTGGACTGAAAGTACATTTCTTAATTTTTTAAAAAAATGTCTCAATTTTTTGTGTATTATTTTATGATTTAATTGTTTTCTCTCACCCATAGCACCAGACTACTCCCGCCCCACATCGTTCCACCCTGACAACCTTTATTATAAGAATTATTATGCATTATCACAGCAGCGAGACATCTCAAAGCACTTCAGAGGATTTTGCTTTGACATGTAGTGACTGTTTTGAGGATAATCACGCCAGCCAATTTGCACCCAGCAATATCCTGTAGCTTCGTGGAGTCCTGTAGCTCAGTGGTTAGAGCACTCGCTTAGCAAGCGAGAGACCTGAGTTCAATTCCAGGCAGGAAACCTTGGGCAAGTTTCCTTACTCCACACAGAGCCTAATAATAATCCCTCCAAAACAAAACAATAATAATTGGTCATTTTCAATCTACGACTGTTTGTGGGACATTGCTGTGCGCAATTGGCTGCCGCGTTCGCCCACAAATATACAGTCAATTCACTTTACAGTGTGTTCTGTGAAGCGCTTTGGGACGTCCTCTCGACGTGAAAAGCGCTATATCAAATGCAAGGATTATTATTATTATTATTATTATTATTATTATCCCACAAACAGTTCAAATGAAGGGAACAACCAATTTTATTGTTGGGGGAGGAATATCTTTATTGAAGTACAGTTGCACAGACAACCTCTACTGCTCTTACAAGTGATTTTCCCCCCCACTTCCAAACCTAGAGGCACGGAGGCCAATTGTTTCCAATTATAAGACGAGATCAGCTAACTACCCAGCCCAGGGGGAGGAAAGAACGGAAACTATTGAAAGCTTTTGTGTTCAAACCACCAAAATCCCCCAAATTCAAAGTTAACAACTATGTCTCTTTTCCCTCTCAAAAAATATTGGTTTCATTCCCCCTTTCTTTATACATTGCTGGGTGGGGGTAACGAGAGATAGGAGAGAAAGATAGGTAAGGGATCAAGATGTTGGCCAGTCAGACTGAGAGCTGCCATATTCTTTAGGTCCAAAGGAAAACAAGTGAGATAAGAGAATAGAGGGATATGGGAGAGGGGATTAGGAAGAACGGAGGCTCATTTACAGCAGCACGACTGATTGAGTCAAATTGCTCATTTCCGTGGTGGTAAGTTCTGCGTAAGAACTACTTTGAAGCATAGAGACCATAGCTTACAAAGGAAAATGCAATTCAGAATGTAGATATAAAGAATTCCCTGTTCTCCCTCGAGATCGAAAGAACATTTTTTTTCATGTATAAAATAGCAACTCATCATATTGAAACATCTGAAAGTTTCACAGCAAACCCAGTAACAATTTGTAACAGCAATTTGGCACGATAGTGATAATCGTTACACTTGATACAGTGCTTTTAACACTGAAATGTCTCAAAGTGCTTCAGAGGGAATCACTGTCAAGCGACTGTGTATTCGTGGATAATTTGCACAGCAAGATCCCCAAAACTGCCTTGAAGTGAATGACTGATTTATATGGAGGATTGGCCAAGAGAAATTCCCTCCTCTTTTCAAAAAAAAGTTGTAAGATCTTTAACGTCAACATGAAGGATTCTATATCAAATGCAGGGATTGATATTATATATATATACACACACACATACAAAAATGCAGGCAAAATACTTGTATGTTCAGAAAGCCATGTCTCATTCCAGATCTCAGAGTGCTTTAGTGGAATTGGGTCCTTGGGAGACATACGGGTGACAATGATGAAGCGATGAAGAGATACCGTTGAGTTTTCTGGTTGGAGATAACCAAGTAATTCCGAACTTCTGCCCCTCCTCCGTGACCTCAACCCCGTTCCAGCGCCTGCTGGCAAAGTTCAGACCATCTGGACAGCATCCAGTTCGTTTAAAAACCTCTGGCACTTTGTCATCAACACTTTGATGGCTTCAGACACCAACACGGTGGGTGGAAGAATACCCGTTGATTCCACTGAAACTACACACAACGAAAGATCAAAATGCAAAATAACTCAGTTTCAGAACACTGTTCTTCAGTCAATTGTGTTTCCTCATCTATAAATTTAGAACATTTGAAATTTAGTAAAGTGGTACAAAGTTTTGTTACTAACCAACACTCAAATGTCAAGGCCAAACTCAAGACCATGGAAAGAAAATGCAAATCTTCCACCCACCCCCACCTTACTAACCGCTTACAAGTACAGTCAAAACACTTTAGAGCAATTCAGTTCAACGTCTTATCCAAAGGGTACCTTATAACAATAATCCTTGCATCTGATATAACACCTTATCAGGTTGTTGAGACATCTCAAAGCACTTCACAGAATATATTGTGTTTATATATAACATATATATATTGATTGATAGTAATGTAAATTGACTATGTATTTCATGGGCAAAACAATGGTACCTCCAACAATTGCAATACATGTTCAGCACTACATTGGAGTGTCAGCCTAGACTGCTTGAATTCAAATTCCTGACATGGGGCTTTAACCCACAGCTTTCTGATTCAAGAGTGCTAATGAATGTGCTACCAAATGATAAGCACAAAGAAATAGATGGGTTAATTTGGAGAGCCAACACCAATGGTTTCCTACTGTGACATAGAATTATATGGTGCTATAGCCCAGTGCTACACCAGACGTCCTTTACTCAATAGTGACAGAAAATTTTAAAACTCCCCCATCACATCCCTGAACATTATTGCTGCACGGAAGAATTCAGCTTCCATTCTGCTGACATTCCCACAAAAAACTACAATGCCCCCCCACCATTCCGACTTACAGATGTAATGATCACGAACTCTGGCGAGGCGGACCAATGTCTTGAGGTCATCGTGGCGGAAGATCTCACGACTGCAGGTGTCCAGTCGTGAGTTCACTACTGTAGCTTCTTTTCTCCCTAGAAAATGAAGCATCTTAGTCACACCTATTTCAATGGAGCTCACCCAGCCCAGTCTCTGCAACCAGCTTGAACCCCCTCCCCAAAAGCCTATGTCTTGTCCCTTTGCTCCCTGCCTTCAAAACATTCTTAATAAACTTCTTTCTTTGCCTGCCTTTGGTCCATAGCCTCAAACGCGCCTCCTCTACTACTTGCTTGGTGATTATCATCTTTGTGAAGCCTTTTGAAATGTACATCCTGTAAGAGTTGTTTGCCTGATGAGAAAGGCACTGCATAAGTGTACATTGTTGTCGATCTTCAAAATAATGCCTTTCCTTCAGTTCTCCTGGAAGAAGAACTGAGGGAAAAGCTGGAGCGAAAATAATCACCCAATATTCTGAGGAAAAGTAGAGCCCATTCAGCCCATCAATCCAGCTCTACTATTTCACTATCCATCCATATCCCTTAATATTCTGACTCATCAAATATCCAGCTCTCTCTTGAAGTTGCTATAAAAATGTAATTTGTTGTTGTAATTTTAAGTGATGGCATTTTTTCCTGGATTCCTCAATTAGAGTAAAGAGTTGTTCCTTATTTTAGTTCAGTATTTTGATCATCTGCACAGCAAGGAGTTCCAAAAATCCATAACATGACCGCCCGGGAAATGACACAACATGCCTTTGTTGCATTACTCTGCTGCTTTCTGGCTAGAATTCCACAGCTCAGGAAAGCCGTCCCCGGAAAGTTTCAGCTACTGGATGCAGACGAGAGCACTCACCATTCACATCATTGACTTCGATGACACCGGGGGAGAAGCAGCTCTTCAGCCTCTCAGCTAGGTCACCCACTACGGGCTGCAGCAGGGTGATATCAGGGAGCAGCCGATAACTCGCAGTGGCGACTGGCGAGAACTTGGCATGGTCTTTACCTGGAATCACAAATGGGAATTTTATTACTTTTTAGGGAAAGGAGAAGTTCCAATTCCTCTTTGCACTGACCTCTCAACACCCCCCACCTCCCCCCACTTTGTACTTTTGGATCAGGAATTCTATTGGGATTCCTATTAAAGAATCCAGTTCAGAAACACCACAAGTTACACAGACGTCAGCCTGATTCAGTTGGAAGCGTTCAACTCTAGGTTAGAAGATTGTGGGTTCGAGCTTACTGTCTAGGCTGATGCTCCAGAGTAGTATGGGGGGGGTTCTCATAGGTGCCATCTTTTGAATAAAATTTCCAACTGAGGTCCCGTCTGCCTGTTTCGGTGGATGTTAATGATCCTATAGCACTACTGAATAGAAGGAAGCTTCGCCTGCTGCTCTGGCCGACAGTTTTCATGATAAACTGGTCGTTCACTTCACAATTGACTGCGCATTTGCCTATGAATACAGACTCTACATTTGAGAGCAATTACCCGTTAAACATTTTGATATATTACAAAGTTATTGGTGCATATAAGCAAACGCAAGGATAACTATTAAGGAATCTGATTAAAAATTACTGCAATATAAGAGCACTGAGCTCACGTACTACAGCTCGTACCAATGCCTTTGACGCAGTGCATGACCACATCAATTTCTTGTCCAGGTCGAAGCAGAGCAATTAGAATATCATCATGTACAGGTCGGATGTCGGCTTGTCCCAGCACATCTGCTTGGTTCCCAATCGGCACCCACTTCATGTGCTTCGAGTAGACTGCAGCCGAGTGTTGGGGAAGAAAGGCAAGAACCACACAATTGCATGAGAAACAGTTTCGTGAATGGGGAACATTTAAGCAGTATTTTGGGCTAATTTTTACCACCCCTTAAGATGCTGATAATGCAGACTCGGACCACAGATGCCACCTGCCCAAATGGCCATTCTTCACGTAGAGGCCAAAATAATTTGTCCTTCGGCGGCCAAGGTTCTAACAGCCCGTTCAATGGAATTTAAAGATCCTCTTCATATGCTAATATAGTGTTCAAAAAGAGAAAGTAATTTCACATAGTGTCCTGGCCAACAAGTTTCAAATTAAAATGGGTCAATCGTTTTATGGCTGTGTATGGGACAATCAGTGTTATTAGATGTCAGCATCAGAAAAAATATACAATCGACTACAAAAAGTCAATTAATTTTACAGTACATTCTGTGAAACGCTTTGAAACATGATAAGGCACTATATCAAATGCAAAGATTATTATTATTTATCAGTGGATTAGTCAGTGTTTCCGCTTTGTTTATCTGCAGCTACATTCGATAACAATTACCTATGAAACGCTTTGAAACGTTTTGGACCCTGTAAAAGATAATTTCAAAAAGCAAGCATTACAAACTGCTTTATGAGCAACCAATTATACAGTTTCACTATCTCCCACTCTATGGAAGAAACCCTAATCAATTTATTTTAATCGCCACCAACATCAGTGCCGACTTTTCTTTTCAAACGTTAGTTAATCTCGCTTTCTGTTTATCACTGAATTCACACCTTCAGATCTATTACTCCTCTAATATGTGTTCACAGTTCCTCAACGTCTATCTTGGCTTATCTCTTACTCTTACTCAATAGCCCCAAATACATGATAGGGCTTTACTGCAAGCATGAGATCAAAAAATTTGCAGGAGATGAATTTTGCATCCCGCGACAGCTCTCAGGTGGTTCAGGTGGTTAGTCATCTTCTCGTCACAAGAGTCAAAAGTTTAGGATTCAAGCCCCAATGCAGGAATTTGAGTCTCCAGTCTAGGCTGACACTGATCCTGTGACACGAACGGCAACGAGAAGAGAGTTTCATCTGGTCTCCTGGCCAGCATTCCTTCAGATTATTTGATCATTCACTTTATGGCTGTTTGAGAGACCGAACTGTGCTCAAAAGTAGCAGCTTGCATTCGCCTACAAAACATCATTACTAAGTTATTACTGTAAACAGCACTCAACTTTCTCTTCATTCAGTTTTCATCTCAGTTTACAAAATTCAGTCAATCCACTTTACAATATATTCTGTGATGTGCTTTGAGACATCTCAATGTTGTGTTTAAAGCTCTATGCAAGGATTATTATTATTATTATTCATTCAGGTCTCCAGTTATGACCTAGGTCACATGGCACTATTCCCAAGCTATGTGACTTTATTATGCTGCTTTTGTATTACAAATTCGCCTCCATTAGTAATAATCTTTACATTTGGTTTAGCACCTTACTCGTTGGAAGGACGACCGAACGCCCTTTACAGAAGTCCCTCCAACTTGCTCCCCCCCTCACTCTTTCAAAAGCAACTCAGATAGATATCTTCTTGGAAATAATATCTTGGGATACAGTATATAGATTGGGACATGACGTGCGCATGCAACTGCCAGGATTATGGAAGGCAAACTGGATGGACCTTAGCCTTCTTTCGTCTAGCAATTCTTATCTTATGTTCTTCCATCTCAAGACCTACCTCTTTGACAACAACAACAACAAGATTCCATTTATAAAGCGCCTTTCACGTCAGGAGGACGTCCCAAGGCGCTGCACAGTTGGGTCATGACCCGAGCAGGGGGGAAATGTTCAGAGTGAGGGGAGGGAAGGGAGGGAGCGAGGAGTGGGGAAATGGTCAGGGTGAGGGGAGGGAAGGAGGGAGCGAGGAGGGGGAAGAGAGTTGAGAGGGGAGCTGAAGGCTCGGTCAAAGAGAAAGGTTTTGAGACCTGCCTTGAAGGAGGAGAGGGAGGAAGCGGCGAAGGCACTGGGGAATAGAGTTCCAGAGCCTAGGGGCTGAGAGGCCGAAGGCCCGACCACCGATGGTAGGGCGATTGGGGCGGGGGACGTGGAGCAGACCGGAGCCGGAGGAACGGAGGGTACGGGCAGGTAGGTAGGGGGATAGTAGGTTGGAGAGGTAGGAGGGAGCGAGGCCGTGAATGGCCTTGTAGGTGAGGATGAGGATCTTGAAATCAGATGTATCCACAGTCATCTTTTCCCTCCCCACTCCCCTCCCCTTTGGGTGTCAAGCTTGAGACATCCTCCCGACATGAAAAGCACTATATAAATGTAAAATTGTACTGTATTATACACTTCAAATAAGCGTCTTGAACCACTGCATCCAGGTTGCTCCAGGTTTGAGGAGTTCTTACCTTTATGGTTAATGTACAGTTCCTCCGGGTCCGAGGAGTCCTTCTGTGCTTTGGGGTTTTTTGTGCATTTCACTTTAAGCTGAAACTGAAGAGTGTCGATTTCAGTCCCTTCTTCATCTCCTGTTCAAGCAGAATTGAGAGGGTCAGGTGTGGGGCAGAGAGAAAGGGTGGAGAAAGTGAGAAAGATGGGGATTAACGAGCACTCAGCGAGTGTAAAATGGCGCTACAGGATGCAAAATGCATCTCCTGCAGGGAACCTTGTGGAACTCAGTTCCAACAATGATTAATAAATTCTAAGCCCTATCAAGCTTTTAGGTACTGGAAAATCCCTTCTCTTTTTGAATAGTACCATGGTAATCAGGACTTTGGTTTAACATCTCACCCTAAAGACAGCACCTCTCTACAATGTATCAGAGGTGCACTGGACTATCAATGTAGACTTTGAACTGAAAATCCCAACGTGGGACCTTTTGACTCAGAGGCAAGAGTATTCTCAACTGAACCAGCCCAACACCAGATAGTAACATATTGCAATTATTTATTCCCTCATGGTGGTGGTGGGGGAGGGGGAGGCGGGGAGGAGGGAGGGCAATGGGGTTACCAACCTGCCTGCTCCCTCCGTTCAGCGGCTCCAGTCTGCTTCATGTCTCCCACCCAACCGTCGATGGCTGGGCTTTCAGCCTTTCTGCCCCCACACTGTGGAACTCCATCCCAGGTCCCTTTGCCTCGCTTCCTCCCTTGCCTCCTTCAAGGCCAATCTCAAGACTCTTATCTTCGACCGTGCCTTTGGTCGCTTTCCCACCTCTCTGCCTTCCCTCACCCCTACACCACCCCTCCCCCATGCTCTGGCCCCGACACCTGACTGTTCAGCGCTTTGGGACGTCCTCCTGACGTGAAAGGCGCTCTATAAATGTAATTTTGTTATTGCTGTTGTTACACAGCAAGATAAGGCGCCGAAGCTAAATCGGAGCTGAAAAGCATGACCTTGTTCAAATTGGTTGCCGTGTTCACCTACAAACACACAGTCACCACACTTCACAGTAAATCACGTAAAGCGCTTTGGGATGTCCACCCGATGTGAAAGCACCATAGAAAATGTAAGGATTATTATTATTATTGTCAAGGATCCGTGACCCTTCCCTGTGTGAAGGGCACTATATAAATGCAAGTTGTTGTTATTAAATGGGAAAATGCTTTCTCCGATAAAAAAAACATAGAACAATTTTGTTCCATATCTTGCCCGTTTCATATCTGTCTGCATCTCAAATACAGTCACCAGAAATATTAATCATCTTCATAGGAGAAACAAAAGGCAAAATACTGCAGATGCTGGAAATCTGAAATAAAACAGAAGTCGCTGGGAACAGCATCTAAGGAGAAGAAAGTGAACTAACGTTTCAAATCGATGACCTTTCGCCAGAACTGTGAGTGTTCCCAGCGACTTATTTTTATCTGCATAAGACATGTTTTTAGTATGTTAATTTCAGTTCCACCGTAAACCCATTCCTCATAACTGTAACTCTTCATCCCCATGAACCTGTGCTGCACCGCTCACAATGGCTCAGGATGTAATGCTGAGTCGCTCTACTTCTCACCTGTGCTCCTGTATTCAAACAAGCGAGGATCTGCTTTGATTGGGATGAGGCCCAGTCTGTGGGCCAGGATCTCGTCTTGCACGATGGAGGTGTTGTTGTAAATGAAAGCCTTTTCCACCGCCATCGTCGGCACCTGTCCAAGCAACATCGGCCATGTCAGACTCACTTCTATCAATTGCGGAGGATGCGAAATGTCACTGAGCTCTTTTTCTGCCCTTCCACCCCTCAAATGCCCTGGTGAGTTTAGCATTCTATTGGCATCATCTGCGCTCCAGTACCTGACCCCCCTCACCATTCAGCAGGTGTGAGCACAAACGGCAAGTGTTGACAAACTATTTGGCCTTTTGGGGTGAGGGAAGAGAGAGAAATCATAGAAGAGGCCCGCACACATATGCACTTTACAGTAGATACCACAGCTGAAGAACATGCATTTCTATAGCATTTATTACATCAAAATAAAGGGCTTTGTAGATTACTGTTGGGTGTAGTGACTGTTTTGTAGGTCAAAACAGGCAGCCATGTTATGTTGTGCATGGTAAATTCCCACAATCAGCCATAAAGTGAACAAATGATTTATCTGGGGGATTGTTACCAGCACACAGGGAGAAACTCCCTTCTCTTACCGTACATTCAATACTCACCTGAACAGATCGAGAGGATTTCAGATGAATGTTTCATCTGAACCTCCAACAATCCAGTACTACTCCCTCCGACTTAGTACTACAGCTTCTGTCCAGACTGCAAGGTCAAATTCCCAGCGTATGGCTCAAACCCACAAACTCGGACCCATCAGTGAGAGTTCTACCATCCTAGCTTGTGATTTGAGAGCTGTGATCCTGGTTGATTTTCTCCAAAATCAATTGTAGCTCCTATGCAACAAACTCGAGAACTAACCTGAGATTGCCTGCTCCATATCTCAAATATAGTCACCACACTGGTAAGTGATTCTTTGTGTAGCACTCAGACATTGACATTGTAGGTACCATACTGACTGCTAGATTTAGTTATTTTAATTCAAATTACAAAGTACTTCTTTTCACCTCCAACTGTTTCTTAAGATAAACCAAACCGAATAACTTTCATTATTAGGACTATTTATTACACTTGTGTGAGATTTTGCTGGAACAGTTCCTGCCTATTTATTTGCATAACTTTCACGAGTTTAGTTTCCAGGCTCGAGTTTCACACAAACTGCAACACAGTGCATATAAAGCAAAATCAGCACTACTAAGAGTTAGTAACGCAAGTACAAACCAGCATTAGAAGTTAATTTCTGTTAAGTAACTATAGCAGAACTGCTGCAAAGGCTGAGAGATAATTGCCCATGACAGGGCATGACTATTTATTAAACTTCTCACTAGAACACCTACGGGTACCAGAAGTGCAGATAACCAAAACCTCCAGTGAGGACTGGCTGGCTCACCACACTATAAAAATGACCAACTTCCAGGCTGTCAGGTTCCCTAATGTTACATCCTGCGTACTATACACTATGCCTCACTGTACCCACTAATGTCACTTCCTGTACATTCTGTTCAAACAATTATTTGAGTAGCAGAAATTAACTTCTAATGCTATTTTGCACCTACAATACTAACTCTTAGTATAGTAAAACTCACATAAGTCATATCATTCAGGACCACAACATTTACAGCTATTGAGCTTCCCCCATTACAGCATTACAGAATGTCAACCAAGACTGTAAACTCAAGTCCTGATGTGGGGCTTGAACTCATAATTTCTGACGGATTACAAACTGAAGTGGTCAGTATCTCTTTACCTCAGCTAGCAGGATCCTGCGGAAGGAATTGGCGATTGAAGCATCGATGCCAACCATGTCAAACTCCAGTACGTCACCATCCATTTGAGTCACGTCAATTCTGAAATTCTGAGGATCCAACAAACTTTGATTACCTACAATATTGCAGTAAAGCACTTTTGAGATATTATGTCATGCTACGCTGACAATTTTAAGACCATGGCTCCCTGTTTTGGCTTCTTCTACCAGAGGGAAGAGTCCATACACCCTATTCCCAATCTGCTTGTAAATTCCTTTCATTAATAATAATAATCCTTGCATTTGATATAGCGCTTTTCACGTCTTCTAGACGTCCCAAAGCGCTTCACAGAATATACTGTAAAGTGAATTGACTGTATATTTGTGGGCGAACGCGGCAGCCAATTGCGCACAGCAGTGTCCCACAAACAGTCATGGATTGAAAATGACCAATTTATTATTGTTTTTTTTGCGAGGGATTATTATTAGGCATGTGGAGTAAGGAAACTTGCCCAAGGTTTCGCCCTGTCTGGAATTGAACTTAGGTCTCTCACTTGCAAAGCGAGTGCTCTAACCACTGAGCTACAGGGCTCTACAATTTTCAACAATTCAATTAGATCACCTTAATCTAGAAATTTTAACTCAAGTTTGCCAGTCACTACATTTCACAACAGTTATTTGTTGAGAATGTTGAGGAGTTATTGTATTTCATGTAGTGCCTTATCAAGCCATCAAAACATTTCAAACCACTCCATAAGGTTTTTACTGGAATGACTGTACTTGTAGGTGAATGCAGCTGCAGCAATGTCCCACAAACAGTCGTGAAGTGAACGACAAACTGTATTTGGGGTGTTGTGGTTCACCACACCAGGAAAAAACTCCCTTCTCCCTGTGACTAGTGCCAATTTAATGTCCACTTAAACAGGCAGATGGGATCTTGGTTTAACATCTTATCTAAGGAAGGCATTTCTGAAAATGCAGAGCTCTCCCAGCACTGCATTGGAGCATTATCTAGGGGCTTGAACTCACATCCCACTGGCTCTGATTTAAGATCCTCATCGTTATATCCCTCGCGGTCTTAACCCAGCCTACCTTTGCAACTTTCTCAAACTGTACAATCAGCCACTCTCTCCGCTCAGCGGGCACGAGCCTGTTTCACGCCCTCCGCCCCACTCTTGGCTGTCAAGCTGTTAATCCATCTTCACTCAGGAACTCCATCCCAGAGTCCCTACAACTCACCCCTTCCCTCTAGGTCCACCTCAAGACCTTCCTACACACATACACATGTATGCGGATGACACCCAACTCTACCTTTCCTCCTCTACTCTCAACTCCACGACCACCGATGTCCTGACAGCCTGCCTGTCCGACATCGAGTCTTGGACAAGAGACAACTTTCTTCACCTCAACGTGCGAAAAACCGAGGCCCTCCTGATTGTCTCGCGTCAGCGCCTCCGCACCTCAGGCGCTGACACCATCAGCATCCAAGGCTGCACTCTCAACCTCTCAAAGCCAGTCAGGAACCTCGGCGTTTTGTTCGACCCTGAGCTGTCCTTTCTCCCTCACATCCGCACCACAACTGGCACCGCCTTCCATCACCTCCGGAACATCGCCAGACCTCATTACCTCACCCCTCACGCTGCTGAAACCCTGGTCCACGCCTTTGTCACCTCAAGGCTGGACGATGGGAACTCTCTCCTCGCAGGCCTTCCCGCCACCTCCCTCCACAAGCTGCAGGTCATTCAGAACTCTGCAGCTCGTGTACTGTCCCGCACCAGACACCGCGACCACATCACTCCCACCCTCGCTCGCCTCCACTGGCTTCCCATTCCCCAGAGGATCGAATTCAAGATCCTCATCCTCACCTACAAGGCCATCCACGGCCTTGCTCCCTCCTACCTCTCTGACCTACTATCCCCCTACCTACCTGCCCGTACCCTCCGTTCCTCTGGCTCCGGTCTGCTCCACGTCCCCCGCCCCAATCGCCCTACCATCGGTGGTCGGGCCTTCAGTCTCTCAGCCCCGAGGCTCTGGAACTCCATCCCCCAGTGCCTTCGCCGCTTCCTCCCTTTCCTTCTTCAAGGCCGGTCTCAAAACCTTTCTCTTTGACCGAGCCTTCAGCTCCCCTCTCGACTCTCTTCCCCCTCCTCGCTCCCTCCCTTCCCTCCCCTCACCCTGACCATTTCCCCCTCCTCGCTCCCTCCCCTCACCCTGACCATTTCCCCCCTGCTCGGGTCATGACCCAACTGTGCAGCGCCTTGGGACGTCCTCCTGACGTGAAAGGCGCTTTATAAATGGAATCTTGTTGTTGTTCCTGTTTGACTGCTTCCAGTCAGCTTCCCCCCTCACCCCAGCTCGAGTGCAAACCCTGGATAGTCCAGTGCCTTGGGACATCTTCCCTCGGTGAAAGACAGTATAAATGTCGATTTGTTATTGTTGGTCTGACTCAGTGGCAAGAGTGAGACAGTACCAACTGAGCCAGGCTGACACCTAACTTTAGGCATGATAATAAATGTAAGCATTATTGTTATATTATTAAGTCTACCTCGCCTCTCATCACAGCTAATGGCTGTTTGGTGACTTTCTACAAGGCAAGTGATTTCGCGGATTTTTTTTTATTTTAGAGCCGGCTCCACGGAGAGGAAACCATTTCCTACCCGGCCCCTATTAGCTGTAGCACAGTGTGGCCGGTGCCAGTGTCCCCCTTTAACAAGCCCCCACCTGCTCGAACCGCTGTTGGTTCCACGTGTCGTCGTAGCCCGGGTAGTTCCCAGGGAAGTCGGTGGTGTGAACCTGAAGGGATGATATATATATATATATATTTATTACATAAAAATAAGTTATTTTGGTCAATGACAACGCTCATTGAATGGCTGTCAGTTTCCCTCACTCACTCACATTGCGGACCCCGAATTCCCCCAGCACCACGCGGCTCCGTATCTCCTCCACCCGCTCTCGACTGCCCTTCATGGTGAGCAGCGGTTATCTGAAGAACTTTCAACTCTTCCTCTCTCTCTCTCGCGCGCGCGCGCGGGGGCGACGGTTGAGATTTTAAAAGAAACCCTCGCGAGATAGCGTCAATTGCGCCTGCGCACGGCATTGAGGGACATGTACGTGGGCACCGCCCCCCCCCCTTCTCCCAAATCTCGCGATGTTGTGGGCGTTTCCCCCCCCCTCCCCGTCTTAACATGGTTTCACGCCCAATTGGGCGGGTTTTGTGTTGTATGCGCGTAAGAAAAAAAGCTTCGGGCGGGTGCCTAATTTTTGATTCATTTTAAATTTAAACCTGCAAAACTTCCCCCCCCCCTTTGTTTTTTTTTTACGCACACAGTTTCAAAAGCACGAAACTTAAACTGGGCTCCTCAGTTGCTGCCAATAGCAGACAACGGGTGGTGTTGGGCTACTTTTGGGCTCGTGTTTAGGGAAGGTTGGGCTACAAACGGGTTGTCATTTCTGGCCACGTCCCTCGAGGCCGCCGGTGGTTTGTTGTTTTCGGTTCCTCAACCACGACCCCCTCCCCAAAAAAAAGGGGTTGCAATCGGTTAGACTCCTGGGGGGTTGGGTGGGTGTGTGTGTGAGAGAGAGAGAGAGACATACACACAAACAAGTGAGTGTGTGATCTGAGGGGGAGAGAGAGGAATTCGGGAAGATGGCGGCACCGGCGGCGGGAGGTGGAGGCAAGAACAGCGAATGGGGAGCTTTCGAGGAGAACCTGATGCAGGTAAAACAATTCAGCTCGACCCGGCCTGGCTGGAGTGAGTCTGAACCGTGTCCCATGAGGGGTGGGTGGGTGGGGGAGAGAGAGTCTCTGCCCGCAGGTAGCCTGGCTCAGATCATCATCATCATCATCATCATAATAATAATAATCCTTGCATTTGATATAGCACCATATCACTTCCTGGAGACTTGAGCACTTCACCGGGTACGCTGTAAAGCGGACTGACTGGATTTTGTGGGTGAAACGTGGCAGGCAGTTTGAGCACCGCACTGCCCCCGCAAACAGCCATGGGGTCCCTGACCAATTTTACCTGCGGGGTTGTCGGTCAGGACGCCGGGAGAAATTCCCTTTTCTTGTTGAATAGAGACATGGAATCTTTAATGTCCACCTGGTAGTCGGGACCTTGGTGTGATGCTCCTGTTTTTTTTGTGGGGTGAGGTCAGGAAGCGGTCAGGTTTGGTAACCGACTGTCGAGGCTGACACTCCATTGCGGCGCTTTGGACGAGACACCGGTTTAATATTTCAGTCGATAGCACTCTCGCTCCTGAGTGGGGATGTGGTAGTTTCAAACCCCACGTCGGGACTTTTAACTCGACTCCTGGCAGACCCTTCATGTAGAGTTGTCAGGAGCCCTTTAATATCAAAAGTACCGTCCTTTGGATGAGAGATGTTAAATCGAGGTCCAGGGTGCCTGTTCAGACGGGCATTAAAGATCCTGTGGCACTGTCCAAAAAGAAGGGAGTTTTTTCTGGCGTTCTGACCAACAATCCTCCAAATAACATTGGTCAATTCATGGCTGTTTCTCGTCATCGCTAGGTCCAAATAAGTTCCACGTTCATCCACAAAATACACAGTACTTATTGTAATATTATAATAATACCCAAGATTATTATTAATTTAACCTGAACAACAGCCCTTGAATCCCATGGAGAGTCAGTCAAGACTATTGAGTTTGTTTTGGTCAGCAGCTGGATCTGACAAGTGGAAACACATCACCGTGCTTAAGAGTATCCAAACCGAACAGAGAATTCCATGCATCCCACCTATACATGGAAATCCCAGAGATAGATTGTTGGAATGAAATGCGCACTCTCTCCCGCTTACCTAATTCCAGAAAGTATTACGTGCAGGTTTGCAAAAACCAAGACTTGGGGACCCCAGAGTCTGCTAACCTCCCCCGCAAGGAGGAAAGACTGAGTTCAAAGTCTTGCTGGGGAGTTTGAACCCACAACCTCCTAACCAAGAAATAAGACCCAAGCTGACAAGGGAATATGGTGCTTGCCCTCAAGGACGGTGGGAAGAAAAGAAGGGTTAGGAACTGAGCATGGTTTAGTCGTGTTTACTTAACGCATATGTTGGAGAACGTGAGGCACGTTATTTCTAAACTAACAATTACACTGGGAGGGAGTACTGCTGATCCTGTCCTTTTCAAGCTGATAAAAGGAATGTGTTGTACAATACTTGATTACTCAGTTTATCAGCTGATATGGGCTCTGTCCATTGTTGTAAGTCAGTTTGAGCTGGTTCCTCAGATTTAGTTTTACAGAAAGACTAACACAATAAAATGTTAATCATGAAATTATACTTGATTCAGGATATTATTGAGTCAATTTTCCCCATAAACTATGTAAAATATCCTTTTTGTGGGATATTAGTTAAGCAGTGTGAAAAATGCTAATTGCGCATTGTCCAGGCAATCGTTTATAAAGTTCTTTTTTGTTTGCAAATCTCCAGGCTGCTGGAGAATTGCCTGTCCACGAACTCTGTTATTTCCTTTTTTTTACACACACATAGTCTGTTTACCAACAACTGAAACATGTTGAAGAATGATTATAATTTAGAAGTACTTAATTGTATTCAGATCGAGTGTTTAACTGTATTCAAACATCCAGAAGATAGGTGTGTGTGTGAGCGCCATCATTGTCAATGGCAGATAATGATCTATCGCCATTTTCGGTGCCACATCTTCCATAATGTGATGGAATGACAAGGTCAAATGCATTTCTGACAGCTTGTTTCAGCTCCTCCATAGTCTCTTATATCGCCATTTTGTAACGGGGTAACAGGACATTTTAGACACCCAATAGTCATTGTCTGACTATCATGAGCTGAGAAGGCCTCAAGACAGGCCAGCTGTCTGCCTTTGGAGGAGACCTGATGTGCTAGTCATACGGTGGGGGGGGTGGTGGTGAGAGTCATGTTCATTTTCTCTCTTTTCTCTCCCACCTCCCCTCCCCCCCCCCCCCCCCCCCACACACACACACATACATAAACAACCCAAATGTCACACTTGGCAAAAAAAACATTAATTTCTAATAGAGAATAGATCTTAACTCAATTGGGGCATTCCCAACTCTAAGTCAGAAAGTTGTGGTTCAGGGTTTATTGGGATTTGAACTCATAATCCAGGCTGGCAATGCAGACAGTGATGAGGAAGTGTTATTTTGCTGGAGGTGCTATAATTGATGTGAGGCATAAAACCCACAAAATATACAATCAATTCACTTTACTGTACATTCTGTGAAGCGCTTTGAGACGTCGTGAAGACTTGATAAGGCACTATGTGAAATGCAAGGATTATTATTATTTCTTATTAATCTCATTCTGTAAATCACTTCAAGATATTTGTTTAACGTAAAAGGTTCTATACTAATGAAGGATCCATATCAAATGCAAACATTCTTATAACTCATCCGTCAATGTTTAGGGCAGCAGCTCAGCAGTGATAGACATGGAGAATATGGACGACACATCTGGTTCAAGTTTCGAGGACATGGGAGAGATGCACCAGCAAATGAAGGAAGAAGAGGAGGCTGGCGAGGAGCCAGTGCCTACAGAGGAAGATGATGGAGAATTTCTGGGCGTGAAGGGGTTAAAGGGACAGCTGGGCCGGGAGGTGGCGGATCAGGTGTGTTTTGATGGAATCTTTAACGTCCACCAGATCATTGGTTTAACATCTTATCCAAAGGCAAATTCTCACAAACCATTCTTGAAGCAGACTCCTTAGATTCTTTTGAAAATAAATTAGATACAGTAAACTCCTGATAACTCGTCACTCCAAGGGACAAGGAAGGACTCTGTTATTAGGAGCGGTGAGTTAGGCGTATGTATAAAATACATAAATAAATGCAACAAACATTTCTATGAGGTTTCTTCTGTATCACTTTCGCACATGGCCACAACTATCTCATATTTTGACTGTTGCAACTTGTAAATTGAGTTTGTGTCTATCAGGTCTGGCAGGCAGGCAAAAGGCAAGCATCGAAGGCTTTCAATCTGTATGCCAACATTGACATTCTCAGACCCTACTTTGATGTTGAGCCCATCCAGGTTAGGAACAGGTATGTTTGTATCGCACAAGCTTATCCTGAATGAAACTGTGGTGCTGTTCTGTGGAAAGGTTATTCTGATTGTTCTGATTATGGGCAAACTTGGTTTAAACTTACATTTTTTAAATTCAGTTTTGTAATTGGCAGTAGATGTTAAATAATCCTTGCATTTCATATAGCACCTTATCATGTCGTGAAAACATTTCAAATCGCTTTACAGAATATACTGAAGATATATTCTGAGAGTTTGAATTTCAGATTTTCGGAATGACAATCCAGGACAATCCTGAGCAGTTCCAGCTGTACAGCAAAAATGTTAAAATGGTAGAAAATGGACTTGTTAAAACGGGTTAACTATTTACTGGCGTATCTGAAAATCTGAATTTCAGATTCTCAGAATGAATCTCCTGTGCTTGAATACTGAGCAGATGTAGACAGCAGGTCTCATTGTGGCATTAGACTATTAGAAATTTGGAACATGCCTGTCTCGCACAACCCTTTCTTGTTGTACCTTCATATCTTGTATTTCCTTTACAGGTTGGTGGAGTCATTGATTCCAGTTCGAATGATCAATTTCCCTCAGGTTTGTGCTTTGTTTTAACTTTTATAAATCCTCCTTCACATAAATCCCACCTCCCTGCTCCACGATATTATAAACCGTAATTGGATCATGGCTTTTTATATAGCGCCTTTCGCATGGGGGGGGGGAGAGGATATCTCAAAGTGCTTTGGGGATATACTGTAAAATGTCACTGTGCATTTTGTAGGTGAAACAAATCAAAGGTAATTACTGACTGGTGTAGTGACAATTTGTAGGAAAACACAGCAACCAATTTGCACTAAAGAAAGTTTCATACAAAGCCACAAAGTGAATGAGCAATCTATATAATAATGATCCTTGCATTTGACATACTGCTTTCACATCAGGAGGATGTCTTGAAGCGCTTCACAGCAGTTACTGTAGTCGCCGAGTCGAGGGGAGGGAGGAGGTGACCGCAAGCACGTAAAGTATAGTGTAGTACAGCAGCCAATTACACACAGCAATGTCCCATAAACAGCTATGAAGTGAATGACCAATTTACCTGGAGAATTGTTAGTCAGAGCACCAGGAGAAATTCCCTTCTGCTTTTAAATAGTGTCATGGGATCTTTAACAGAACAGGGAGTCAAAACCTCAGGGTTACATCTCATCTAAGAGGTGAAACTCCAACAATGCAGCACTTCCCCTGTTGCACTGGACTGTCAGCCTAGACTGTGAGCTGAGATTTCAAATATGTGGCTTTGAATCCACAAATTTCTTACTTAGAGGTCAGTATTGTTACCAACTAGCCAGGAGAGTGAGCCGGATAAAGTCCACGTATTTTCCTTGCAAATTTGATCTCACTCCTCTTCTGCAACTTTGCTCTCACCCCTTCCCCCCTGCCTGGCTCGGGGTCAGGCTCCGCCACTGTTAAGCTCTCCAAGACCCTACCCCATGTGTAGGCTACGTAAATGCAGGTTGTTGTTGTTGTGCGGGCGTTGGCAGATGCTGGAGTATGGTTACACCAGCGCCAGTCATTTTCTCTTTCCTTGTCCAAAGTTGCCATTCTTCATGTGTGAGCCAAATCAATAAGTTTTAGCAGCCTTTGTTTGCAGACAGAGAATATTGAATCTCAATCCAATGTCGAACAGAGATCAAGTCGTTACTGAGAGGAAATTGGAGGTTCTGATAAAAATGGGTTTCACTGTGGTCTATTGCATTTATTTTGTCAAATCTTCTCAATCTTAAAAGATCATTTAGTAGCTTGATTTAGTGATCGTGACCTCAAGCCTTTCTCTTTTAGAAAGTGGCAGGCGAGCTGTATGGTCCCCTGATGTTGGTCTTCACTCTTGTGGCTATTCTTTTGCATGGGATGAAAACATCTGGGACAGTAATTGTAAGTACCAAACTTAAGCACTAAAGTGACAGTGCTTGGACAAGCTTACTTGTAATAATATTATTAATATTTATAATGATAATCCTTGCATTTGATTGGTATACTGTATATTTTTGCCCATAAAATGTAGTCAATTCACTTTACAGTATATTCTGTGAAGCACTTTGAGACGTCTCAACGATGTGATAAGGAGCTATATGAAATGCAAGGATTTGATAGATCCTTATCACATCGTTGAGACGTTTCAAAGTGCTTCACAGAATATACTGTAAAGTGAATTGACTGTGTATTTTGTGGGCGAAACAAGACAACCCAATTGCGCACAGCAGTGTCCCACAAACAGTCATGGAATGTGTGATCACATTTTTTCATTTTTTTGGAGGAGGGGTTATTACTCCTGCTCATTATTGCTGGGAATTGAATGTACCAATCTCCGGACTAATCAAAACCTCAAATAAGTTTAATAAACACAAAACCAAATGTTAGGGTAGGGAACACTTTACCCCAAAGCCAAGTTTGTACAGTATTTAAAAGGGAACTGGATATATATGCGAGAGAAAATAACCATTAACAATGAGGGAGAGGGGTAAGGAGAGAAACGGGATTAACTAAAATAATAAAATTAGATAAAATAGTTCCAGTGATGGTCCAAATGGCCTCATTTTTGTGTGGCAAATCCTCTGTCATTGCAATTCTGACCAATTGGTTAGCCGCAGTGACAGAAACACAAGGGACCCGGCGAGGAGTTTGACTGTTTTGTGTACATTGCATGCATTGTCAGTTTTTCTGCCAGCTAACCTTGCTGATTGATATTTCCTCTGCTTTATGTTCTTGTAGAGAGAGGGCACCTTGATGGGTACTGCAATCGGGACCTGCTTTGGCTACTGGCTGGGTGTCTCATCCTTCATTTATTTCCTGGGTTATCTGTGCAATGCTCAAATCACAATGCTGCAGATGCTATCACTACTGGTGAGTTTGGATCAGGAGGGTTGGAGGGTAGGGGTAGGAGGGTGACCGAAGGTACGGTCAAAGAGGATGGTCTTGAGATGGGCATTGAAGGAGGCAAAGGAGGGGGCTAGGAAAAGGGACTGTGGGATGGAGTTCCAAACAACAACAACAACTTGCATTCATTTAGCGCACCTCACGCAGGGTACCGTCCCAGAGTGCTTAAAGGGTGGGGGCAGAGAGGCTGAAGGTCCAAGCACCAATAGAGACAGGACCTCAGTATAATATTTCATCCAAAGGATGGCACTTTCAATTGTGCAGCTCTCTGGATTGTCAGCCGAGACTGAGCTCAAGTCATGACATGAATGAGAGTGATTCCATCTTCTAACTTAGACATGAGCGATACCAATTGAACCAACTGATAGCCTGGTGCAGCAACCGTCAAATAATTGCCTGCTTCAAATTCAAAGTTAACAAGATAGAAATTTCATGTCACCCACAAAATGAAGTGTTATATGAATGAGCATCATCAGCCCACCTTTAGACACCAGGTACATTGACAACCTGGTTACTGTTGTTTGGCATATTTATAGTCTTCAAATACATGAAACTAGCCCAACAATGCAACACACTTCTGAAATACATTTTCTGAGGTCCATTTCCTATTATAAATATCAGGAATCGTTGCACTGGGAGGTCCAAAAGATCACATAACCTAACAACGAATTGCTCTCTTTGATGCCTGTGTCCATCCCTCAGTAACGCTGAGCTTTTGCTTCACAGGGTTATGGCCTGTTCGGACCCTGCATTGTACTGATGGTAACATACAATGTTCATCTCCATTCCCTTTTCTACCTATTGTGGCTGATCATTGGGGGACTTGCCACCGTTCGAATGGTAGGTCATCTGTGAAAATAATAATAATCCTTGCATTTGATATAGCGCCTTATCACACTGTTGAGACGTCTTAAAGCGCTTCACAGAATATATTGTAAAGTGGATTTACTGTATTTTGTGGGCGAAATGGGGAAGCCAGTTGCACACAGCAGTGACCCACGAACAGTCGTGGATTGAGTGACCAAATTTTTTTTGGGGGGGATTATTACCCCCCCCCAGAAAGCAATCCACCAATCGACTAACAAATGGGTTCCTACTTACTGCTAGGTAAACAGAGGCATATGGAGTAAGCAAACTTGCCTTAGGTTTCGGCCCACCCGGGAATCGAACCCGTTTCACAAATGTGAAATGCATGTGCAAATGTGGAATACTTTGCCCCAGAAGATTGTTGAATGAATTGGGATTTTTAAAAGGGAACCAATAGATGGATAGAGTGGAGGCCTGATATAAGGCAATAATTAGGGGTCCACCTAATTCTAGCCAGTCTTACAACAGGGCACTATCTCCTGTCAGCACATCTGCATTCATTGTATATGCCTGAGGAGCTTCCCATACACCAGCTGCCTCTCTTCAATTAAAAAGGGGCCAACTTCTGGGTCATTGTCTTGCCACGTGAGCGCAGTGGGATTTCAAAGGAAGTCTGCATTTTTGACTATTTTTGTGTGTGTATGAATAAATGTCAGGTTCCATACCCAACTACATGACCAGCGTTATTCCCAGGTTCTACTGTCCTCAGGACACAAGGGTATTAAGGAGTATGAGAAAAGGCAGAACATTTTGGAAAGGATTGAAGGGTGTGCATGATTTATTAAAATGGTGGAACAGGCTTGACTGACTCAATAGTCAACTCCCTCCTGTTCCAATCTTTAGAAGATTAATTTTCTCCTGTCACATGATCAATGTAGTCAGCTTTTTTGCTTGTCTTCTAAACCCCTCCCCTCTGCAGGTTGCAGTGATGCTTTCCCGAACTGTTGGACAAACCCAGCGGCTTATTGTATGTGGGATCCTTGCCACCCTGCACATGGCTTTCCTGCTTTACTTGCACTTTGCTTATCACAGGATCGTGGAAGGTAAGGAAAGACCCCTGAATTGGGGCTACAACATCTTACACTTGTATGCCATAAATGTCTCAGTGGCTTCATAAAGTCAATGGGAGAAGCAGGGAGGAACAGAATAGGAGTTTGAGGGTGTAGATTAAAGGCACAGTCAAAGACAGCAGTTTTGAACGAGGAAGAAATTGTGGTTTTTTTGGTCAGCTGGGTGTCTGATATATGCAGAAGCCATCACCGTGCTTAAGAGTCTCCAAACCAAACTGAGAATTCCACGTATCCCACCTACATATGGAAATCCCAGGGATAGACTGTTGGAATGGGATGTGCACTCTCCCCAGAGAGATTGTTCAAGGCAAAAGGTTTGGAAGAGATTATGGCCATAGCTGCTGAGTGTTCGGCCACCAATGGTGGGCCAGAGGGCATTTTTAAGCAGTCTTTTTCCTTGCCATTGTTTACTCTTGGTCTCACCCAAACTTTGAGTGTATCTAGACCTGTGTAGGTTTGTTGAAATCTTCAAAAGTAAAGTTGTATAAGAGAGGAAAAGCACCTGTTTAATCCACAGCCTTAACTTGGGTATATAATTCTCTAAAGGACTCCTGTGTTGATTTTAGCTTGTGAACCAAGTATGTTAAACTGAGGACATCTATAATAATAATAATCCTTGCATTTGATATAGCGCCTTATCACATTATCGAGCGGTCTCAAAGCGCTTCACAGAATATACTGTACTGTAGGCCACATTTTCTTGAATGAATTGAATAGCTTCACTGTTCACATATTGGTTTATGTTGGAGCTTCCAACGCACAGTTTGAAAACTGCTCATCATGTGTGTGCCTGTTCACAGGTATCCTGGACACCTTAGAGGGACCCAATGCAGGGCCAGTGAGATTCCCCCGGGACGTGCCAGAGTTTTCAGCAGCTGTGGTGAATACCACCATCCGATCGATTGGAGCGAGCCTGCAGATACGTTAGCTCTGAATCCTCTTTCTCTGTGTGACACGGAAATGCTCTTTACACTTTACCAGAACGAGTGCCGGAGTGGGAAGGAGGAGTGAGGGAAGGAACACACGTTCTGCAGTGTTTGTAGATAATAGAAAACTCTTTCATTGTGGCGGGGTGAGAAGGGAAAGGATCCCTTTTCAGTGGAATCTGTATATAGCCAATCTTTATTTTTAAAGAGTGTGTAAAATCTACTTATTTATTTGTTTTCTCTCGTTACTTGCTTGGTTTCCTCGGTGCGTGAAGCATTCTCTAATTTGCATCCCTGCCTCCTTCACACACACAGATCAGTTTGTTTCATTGAAAGAATGAATCCAGTAAGCAGGTGATGAAGAGGCAGACACTTATAACTTTTCAATACATTGGATCTAAATGCCAATACAGCGCCATGCTTTACTACTAGATTTTATGGCTGTGGTTTTATAAAATTATAGAATAAAACAACACAACTGCCTATTCAGCTCATCAAGTCAGGGTGGTGATTTCTCTCCACACTAAAAATCTCGTCTAATTCCACTCTCCTGCTCACTCCCCATAACCTTTGATATTCCTCCTCTTCAAGCATCTATCTTATTCCCTTTTTAAAATAATCACTGGACTGTTCTCAACAAAAATTTGAACTCGAGATTTCCACAATTCAACCACCCTCTCTATAGGATTTCTTTTCTCCCCTTTCATTTGTTTTTGTATGTATTTTATTGACTCGCTGACCAGTGGAAGTAATAATCTAATACTATGTAATTATTTGTAAATCTCTCCTGTTGTTCTCTCATTCGCTTAGGTTGGCTCTTCACCCCTTCCCCAAGACTGAGTATTTTAATCCAGATTATACACACAAGAGAGGTTTGGATGAAGGCCCATTGGCTCATTGTTCGAAAGCAAGTTTCTCTAAATCACCTGCAGTGATTTTACAATCCACTAGCATGCTTATGTTCCCATTGCTTGTACAGGTATAGTACTAGAACATTCAGTACTCTTAGACTGGCACCATCATTAGAAAGATATTGAGGGGCAGAGAACATTGCCTTGAAACAAATCAAAATGTGCCCTTTTTTTAAAAAAAGTTTTGTCTTCAAAGACTCATGTATATGAATAATGATCAATAATAATCCTTGCATTTGATAATATTCAATGTAAAAGCAGTCTATCATTTGTACAGAATGAATCGGGATGGGTGGGGGAGTCCTTGGGCAAAAAAATCATTAACAAAATGACCTCTTTAGTGACGTTTAATGGATGGAGAATAGAAATCTAGATGGTGTCGTTTTAGGTTATCATAGTTCAGATGGACAATGCTACAACTCTTTATTTGTCTTTTAAAGCAGGTGGGTTGGTAGCCTTTTATTTTAAGATGGAATTAGATGCGGGAAAATGTAATATTCTGTTTAAATCTACCTATCAAATAAAATTAAATTAGCCAAGGATGCTTGCATGCCTGTGTGTGTGTGTGATAGTTCTCCATTATATTGCACTACAGAGGTTGGATAATATCCCTTGAGATGACAATCAAGAACGATGCACCATGTTACCACCACCAACAACAACTTGCATTTATATAGCGTACTTCATGCAGGATAGTGTCCTGGAGTGCAGTACAGGGGGCGGGGACTTGCTGCATTGTTTAAAGTATCATCCTTTGGATGAGATTGAATGGAGTCTTGTCCATCCAGATGAACATTCAAGATCGTGTGACACTTCAAAAAAGAAGGGAGTATACCCAGACATTAAAATAAGTAAGCAACAGTAGAATTAAATACAATAAAAAAACAGAAGTTGTTATCTGACTCTGTTTTGCTTTCTCTTCCCAGTACAGGGAAAAAAACAAATATTATGGCAGGTTTCCTGTCACAATCCTTCCAACTCGCCCGCTCTTTTTCGTATCTGACAACTTTTGTCTTCCACTATACCCGTGGTCACTTCTCCTTTCTCCCTAGCTCAGCATCAAATTCCATCATTGTTCAGCGCTCCGAGATGCTGTCCAGAGTGAAGGGTGCTCTTCCCAACTCCTCCCTCCACAGGCTGCAGATAATCCAGAACTCTGCAGCCCGTGTCCTCTCCCGCACCAAATTCCGTGACCCCATCTCCCCCACTCTCGCCCGATTCCATTGGCTCCCTATCCTTCAGAGCATGCTGTTCAAGATCCTGGTCCTCACGTACAAAGCCCTCCATGGCCTCACCCCACCCACCTCTGCGACCTCCTAACCCCCTACCAACCCGCCCGTTCCCTCTGCTCAGCTGGCTCCGGCCTGCTCCACGTCCCCTGACCCACCCGCCCCCCACCATTGGTAAAAGAGCTTTCAGCCACTCTGCCCCCAATCTCTGGAATTCCATCCCCCAGTCATGCGCCTCGCCCCCTCCTTAACCTGCTTCAAGTCCCACCTCAAGACCCTCCTCTTCATCCATGCCATCGACCACTCCCCTTCCCCTCCCTTCCATCCCCCCAACTCCAGCTCAGGTCTGAAATGCTGTACACTGTCCAGCGCCTTGGGACGTCCTTCTGACGTGAAAGGCGCTATACAAATGTAATCTTGTTGTTGCTCGATCAAAGTTGTTGACTCCTCCCTCTCGTTTCCTTACCTGAACTGCATTGCAATTGCCACCTTTGGACAAGAGCTCTTTCAAATTCATCTTCAGGAAATCTGCCTGTTTTTGTTCTGTGGGTTGCCTGAAATTACAAGCTTGCCTTTGGAAACATACTCCAAATATAAAAGGAGTTTTAAATGCATTCTGGAAAGCATACTGCCAGGTAATAATTCACACCTAATTTTTTTTTTAAGCTCACAATACATCAAGAGGTATAAGTAACTTATCCAAATCCCTAATCATACAACAACTTGCATTTCAACAACAGCAATGTCTTGGAGAGCTTCGCAAAATGGGGTTGGACCATAAGAGGGAGGAGACCGTAGGCATGGACCTAGATTTTTAAGTGGAATTGAAATGGTGGCATAAAGAGGGCATGCAAACCTGAGTTGCCTGATCAGAGGGGGGCAGGAGAGGAGTGGGGTTGGAGATCACAGATGTAGGCAGTGCTAGGGTGTCAAGGGAATTAAAGGAGAGGGTGAGAATCTTGGAAGTCAAACCATTAGTAATAATAGTAATCCTTGCATTTGATATAGGCGCCTTATCTCATTGTTGAAATGTCTTGAAGTGCTTCACAGAATATACTCTAAAGCAAATTGACTATATTTTGTGGATGTAGCATGGCAGCCAATTGTGCAGAGCAATGTCCCACAACAGTCGTGGATTGAGTGACCAATTTTTTTTTGAGGGATTATTAGCCCCGGAAAGCAATCCGCCGATCGACTAACTACTGAGTTCCTACTTACTGCATGTAAAGGTTGTTTGACATCAAGGTAAGGATTTGGGTGACAGTGAAGCTTGGGAAACACCGAATAGATGTAGGATGATTATTATTTTCTACAAAATCTTTGAGAAACCCATTATAATAATAATAATCTTTGCATTTGATGTAGCACCTTATCACATTGTTGAGATGTTGGATTGAGTGACCAAATATTTTTTTTTCTTTTTGAAGGGATTATTCCCCATCAGAAAAGCGATCCGCCAATCGACTAACAGCCAGGTTCCCACTTACTGCAAGGTAAACAGGTGTGTCGAGTAAGGAAATTGGCCCAACGTCTCACTCTGCCCAGGAATCAAACCTGGATCCTCTCACTTGCGAGGCGAGTGCTCTAACCATTATTGCTCCAGGACTCCACATTATGAAGGCAGAAACTATGAGCGTATCTCTGGAGTGACGAAGTGGGACAAAACCTTCTGACAATGCATCCGAATGTATTAGGTGCAGATCAGCAAGAATCCAGGATTGGGGTGTCCCAGAGGACATGGGGCACATGAGGGTTGGCAGAGGGTAACCAGTGAAGTGAGATGGTCAGGTACTGGGCGGGGTCAGCCCTGTGAGGAGTCTCCGGCCGGAAGCGGGTGCTTCGCTGTGATTGGCTTACGTCTGTGAGGCTGCAGCGCTGTGGTTGGCCGCATGTCGCAGGAGGGGCGGGGTCAGTGCCGGGACCGGGGTCTCCGTGACGCGACCGGAAGTGCTCAGTCAGTCTGATTCTGAGCGTCTGCTCGGCAACATGTCTCAGGATCTGAGCGGACTCAGTGACGAGGCGGCCGCCGCCGCCTGCTCCGAGCCAGACCCGGCCACTAAGGTGAGGGGGAGGGAGGGGGGGGGGGAGCTGCTGAGTTTGTTGGACAGTGAAAGTTATCGCTTTACACTGTCTGATGATTGTATTAACTGTTACCCCTTTTTTTTTAAATTCAAAGTGAAGATACCACTTTTCAGATTGTCTCAGAATTCTGTTTCAATCAATCGCACAGTGACACTGGGATAAGTATTTGGGTTATAACAGGGAACAGGTTAGAATAGAGAGCTGGCACTGGGGTGGATATAATAACCATCGCACTTGATATAGCGCCTTATCACATCCTAGAGATGTCTCAAAGCGCTTCACAGAACATACTGTAAAATTGACTAAACTTGGAATTGACTGTATAATTTGTGGGTGAAGCGAAGCAGCCAGTTTCGCACAGCAATGTCCCACAGACAGTCGTGGATTGAGTGACCTCGCAATATCTCACGGTAGGAGCTTGGCATTAGCGTAGGCTCATCGTGAAGGGCTGTCTGTCTGGCCTCCCTTCTGCTTTAGTTTCTTGTTGGATTTATTTATTTGCTCTCTCCTTGCACTTTGTTGACTCTTTCACCTGCTCGTGTCTTTCAGGATTTCATCATGCAGCAGACAATGCTGAGGGTGAAGGATCCGAAAAAATCCTTGGAGTTTTACACCGGGATTCTGGGAATGACGTGAGTGATGCCCTGGACATGGGGGTAACTTGTTTGGCAGCGATCAACTTTACTGCATTCGTTTCTGTGCACATTTGTCCAGAAAATCAATGGTGTCAGCTTGGTTTAGTTGGTAGTGCTCTCACCTCCTGTGGTGAGAAGGTCGTATGTCACGACCCATGGCAGGACTCTGAACGTAGTCCACACTGAGATTGCAGTGCCTATTTTTCAGGTGGGAATTAAAGATCCCGTGACACTATTTAAAAACAGAAGAAAGTTTATCTTTAATAATAATAATAATCCTTGCATTTGATATCATTAAAACATCACAAAGCGCATCACAGAATATATTGTTAAGTGGATTGATTTGTGTAATTTGTGGGCAAAACACAGCAGCCAGTTGCACACAACTATATCCCACAAACAGTTGTGGGTTGAGTTTTTGGGGGGAATTATTATTCCCGGAAAGCAATCTACCAATCGACCAGCAACCAGGTTCCTACTTACTGCTCGGTAAATAGAGGCGTGTGGAGTAAGGTTTCGCTGCACCTGGGAATTGAATCCCAGTCCTCTCGCTTGCGAGGCGACCATGCTAACTACTACACTATGGGACTCCAACATAACCACTGGAACAGGCAGACCCATCCGTAGGACGGCACCTTCAACAAAACTTGCTCCCCCACCCCCTAGCCAGCACAGTGTTCAAGTGTCAGTCTGGTTTGTAAGCTCCAGAGCTGGAGCTTGTACCCACAACCTTCTGACCCAGAGGTGAAGGGACACCCAGTTAGCCAAGCAACAAATACCCAGGCCTGGCCTGTGCAAACCAATTATTAAAGGAGCAACAAAGGCTGGGCTTGTTTTTGCCACTGATCATCGGTAGCCGCGCTTTCAGCCACTCCTTCCCCTCTTTTAGATCACGACTGAAGACCTTCCTCTTCGACCATGCCTCCTCCCTCTCCCAGGCTTGGCATCAGGCTCCACCACTTTTAAGCACTGTGAGACTATATAAATGCAAGTTGCTGCTCTTTGTTGGCTGAATTGCTGAGCAGACTGAGGTCTTTATTTTAAATGGAGTATAGTTCTGGTTATAAGCAGAATTTTGGAGCGACTATACCTGGGCATGAAAACTGTGTGTGTGTGTCTCTCTCTCTCTCTAACTGAGATATTTATTGGAATGGAATTTGCACTCTCACCCCAGGGGAATGCACCCTGCTAATCTATTTTTGGAGGGTATAAGGCACTCAGGTTGGCAAGAGCCAAGGATTGGAGACCCTAGAGTTAGGATAATTACTGGAGTCAAACCAACTAAAACTACATAGTTTGTTCACAGCTACAGTAGCTTGGGGAGTCAGCCTTAAATGCTTGGATCAGCTTTTACAAGTCCTTTGGTGAATCCCTCAATTGGACCCCAGTGATACAACAACAAATTGCATTTATACAACGCCTTTCACATCAGGAGGACGTCCCAGGGGTTGGACAGTGAGGGGTTTGTACCCAAGCTGTGGGTTGGGATTAGAGAGGGGTGGAGGAAGGAAGATTACCAAAGGCACGGTCAAAAAGATCTTGAGATGGGCCTTGAAGGGCAGGGCCGTGGAGCAGGCCAATGCTTGTAGAGCGGCAAGAGTGAACAGATTTGTGAAGTTTTAATAGGTCGCAGAAATAGGGTGGAGCAAGACTGTGGAGTGCTTCAAAGGTAAGAGGATCTTGAACTTAATCCTCTGGGGGATGGGGAGCCCGTGAAGCCGGGAAGAATGGGGGTGATCGGCTCACAAAGCTTAGTTCAGGAGAGGACAAAAGCTGTAGAAATTGAGTGTCCATGGGTATATGTTGTTATATGCCTTGCTCACGGAAATCTAATCTCAGCTACGTCACCTTGCCAGGAGGCGGTGGTTCAGCTCAGTGGAGACCTGCCCCTATTTGTCTAGAGGCTGACATCCGGCAGGGATTAATCTCAGCAATTTTCTCCCATCACTCCTCAAGACATGACTTAATTTTGTTCCCTTCTCCTGGGTGTGATTCCACAAATGTTCCCTGGTACTTTGCTCCAAGTTGCCACTATTCATTTATCTTTCCAGTGGGTGTCAAGGACATGGGGAATGGGGGAGAGCTGTGTGTCTGCAGGGGACATCACTGCTTCTCGTATCAGAAGGTTATGGGTTCAGATCTCACTTTGCGCTTGTAATGTTAGTCTGATGATCCAGTGCAGTGCTGGGAGAAGGGAGATGCAGTGTTTAAGGTTGCTGTTCTTCAGGTGGGGCTGTAAGCAAAGGGTTTGAGTACAGTCTTCTGCCTTGAGGGCATCACTACTACTGATGGGGCCAAACTGATCCCTAAAATATGGAGACAAGGCAGAGAAATGGGATTGAAAGGGAATTCGACACATATCTGAAAAGGAATATAAAAAGTTCTGGTGTAAAAGACAGGAGAATAGGATTAAATCCATTATTCAATACATGGGCATTTGCACTAAATATATTAATACATTTGATACAGTACCTTTCAGAATATACAGTGCCTTCAGGATCTATACTGTAAAGTGTGCATTTTGTAGGCGAATGGATAAATAATAATAAGTTGTTGCATTTGATATAGTGCCTTATCACCCCATTGAGCCGTCTCAAAGCACTTCACAGAATATATTGTATCGTGGAGTGACTGTGTATTTTGAGGGCAAGACGCAGCAACCAATTGCACACAGCAGTGTCCCACCAACAGTCGTGGACTGAGTGATCACATTTTTTTGGGGTGGTGGGGGATTATTATTTGTCTAAGGCTTCGCCCTGACCCGCCCAGGAATCAAACCCAGGTCCTCTCGCTTGCGAGGCAAGTGCTCGAACCACTAAACTACGTGTTACAACAACATACGCATTTTTTGGTCAAGGGACAAGTTGAAAGAGTGCGTTGGTTGATTCATCTCTCATCAAGTCAAAACAGTGTGTGGCAACAATAATCAAGGCTGACGGGATACTGAGCTATACATGCTCAGCCTGTGCTGTGCTCTGATCAGTCTGCACCTGGAATTATGCGTGCAGTTTTAGTTGCTGCAGGGCTGGTGCTCTCCAAACCTAAATGCCATGCAGAGAGGAAAGCAACAAGACTGATCCTCAGTGTTAGATGGATGAGCTAAAATGAATGACTAACTAGGAGGTATTGAGTGGGATTGAGAAAGCAATACTTTCAGGTGCCCTAAGGCAATAATAATAATAGCATTTGATATAGCACCTTATTATGCCATTGAGACATCTCACAGAACTTCACAGAATATATTGTATAGTGGATTGACTGTATTTTATGAGCAAAATGCGGCAGCCAATTGTGCACAGCAGAGTCCCACAAACAGTTGTGGATTGACAGGAACAACAACTTGCATTTACATAGTGCCCTTCACATGGGGTAGAGTCTCGGAGCACTTCAGACAAGAGGGAACAGGTTAAGAGGTATGCAAGGGAAGCATAGGTTAGATGCTGGGAAGTATTTCTTTACACAGAGGGTAATTAATGGGTTACTAGGAAGAGTGGTTGAAGCCAGGGCACTGGGATTCATTTAAGGAACAGCTCAATACTGCTGGACAGTAGGGTAGAACAATGAGATCGAAGGGCCTGCCGTTTTCACCCAAACCTCTCTGTTTCACAGGCTGCTGCAGAAATTTGATTTTCCCTCCATGAAATTCACTCTTTACTTCCTGGGTTATGAAAACAAAAAGGAGATCCCAGCCGAGCTGAGCGAGAGGACAGCCTGGACATTCTCCAGGCCTGCCACCATCGAGCTGACTCAGTGAGTGTGACCTTCAATACAGCGCCTCGGTATTTGATACACTGACAACATCATCAATAGCTCAAACCTCCTCACAAGGATTCACTGTTAAGTGCTCTGACTGTGTATTTGTGGGTGAATACAGCAGCCAAATTGTGCACATCAGACCGATTTATTTGGGAGGATCGTTGGCCAAAACGCAGAGAGAAACTCCTGTCTCTTTCACAATAACGTCACTGTTGTCATTAACAACAGCTCACGCTTATGAGGTGCCTTTCACTACATAACTGGCTCCAAGGTGACAAAGATTCAAGACAGCCTTCTATGGCAGTGTCGATATTCCGGTGCCTGAGCCAAGTGGGTCCACAGTATTCCAGGGTACTGCTGATAACAGTACAACAAACAAGATTACATTTGTATAGCGCCTTTCACGTCGGGAGGACATCCCAAACAGCTAGCCTGGCTCATCAGCAGGATTTGGAAGGGCATACCAGTCACTGGGGGCAGGAATCCTCCCACTCAGCTCCTGTTAACCCTGCAAACCAAAACCCTAACTGGTAGGGTGGTGCTAGCTGGACAAGCGTTGGGAAAGCTTGTTAGGCAGCAATATCAATCACAAGCCATGTGGGTATAGCTGTTTAGACTCCAGCAGTTACCGCAACACACACTCTGGGATCCCCAAGCCTTGACTCCTACCAACCTGCACCTAATACTTTCTAGAATTAGGTAAGCAGGATGAGTGTCGCATGTGTCAAGACACCCGGCTGATCAAAAAGGGGCGGAAACCGCCCTGGTCAAGGTCACTAATCTTGACCATCTGCTACCAGGGCTCCCTCTGCCTCCTCGACCTATCGGCCACATTCAATACGGTCGACCCCGCTATCCTCCTCCACCGCTTGTCCTCCCACCTCAACTTTCAAGGCCCTGTCCTTGAATGGTTTAGGTCCTACCTCTCCCACCGTCTTCATTTTGTCTCTGCAAACGGCTTTTCCTCCAGCCCCTGCACTGTCTTGTGCGGCGTCCCTCAGGGCTCTGTCCTCGGTCACTCCTCTTCACCCTCTATATGCTCCCCCTGGTGACATCATCCGCAGACATGGGGTTAACTTCCCATATGCGGATGACACTCAACTCTACCTTTCCTCTTCTACCCTCAACTCCACGACCACCGATGTCCTGACAGCCTGCCTGTCCGACATCGAGTCCTGGACGAGAGACAACTTTCTTCAGCTCAACGTGCGTAAAACTGAGGCCCTCCTGATTGGCTCACGTCAGCGCCTCCGCACCTCAGGCGCTGACAGCATCAGCATCCAAGGCTGCACTCTCCATCTCTCAAAGCCATCAGGAACCTCGGTGTTCTGTTCGACCCGGAGTTGTCCTTTCTTCCCCACATCCGCACCACAACTGGCACCGCCTTCCACCACCTCCAGAACATCGCCAGACTACGGCATTACCTCACCCCTCACGCTGCTGAAACCCTGGTCCACGCCTTTATCACCTCAAGGCTGGACTACGGGAACTCTCTCCTCGTCAGCCTTCCCGCCACCTCCCTCCACAAGCTGCAGGTCATTCAGAACTCTGCAGCTCGTGTACTGTCCCGCACCAGACACCGCGACCACATCACTCCCACCCTCGCTCGCCTCCACTGGCTCCCCATCCCCCAGCGGATCGAATTCAAGATCCTCATCACCTACAAGGTCATTCACGGCCTTGCTCCCTCCTACCTCTCCGGCTTACTATCCCCCTACTTACCTGCCCGTACCCTCCATTCCTCTGGCTCCGGTCTGTTCCACATCCCCCGCCCTAACTGCCCTACCATCGGTGGCCTTCAGCCTCTTAGCCCCGAGGCTCTGGAACTCCATCCCCCAGTGCCTTTGTCTTGCTTCCTCCCTTTCCTCCTTCAAGGCCGGTTTCAAGGCCGGTCTCAAGACCTTTCTCTTCAACCGTGCCTTCACCTCCCCTCTCGACTCTACCCCCTCCTCGCTCCCTCCCTTCCCTCCCTCCCCCTGACCATTTCCCCCCTGCTCGGGTCCCGACCCAACTGTCCAGCGCCTTGGGACGTCCTCCCGACGTGAAAGGCGCTCTATAAATGCAATCTTGTTGTTGAGATCGCAAATCTGGGTGACTGGTGCAAGGGCATGGAAGAATTTTTATTTGGTCAGTCACGAAGAAACCCATCGTCGTGTAAGAGTATCCAATTTATAATAATAATAATCCTTGCATTTGATATAGCGCTTTTCACGTCTTTTAGACGTCTCAAAGCGCTTCATAGAATATACTGCAAAGTGAATTGACTGTATATTTGTGGGCGAAACGCGGCAGCCAATTGCGCACAGCAATGTCCCACAAACAGTTGTGAAGTGACCGATTTTTTATTGTTTTTTTTTCTTGAGGGATTATTATCAGGTGTGTGGAGTAAGGAAACTTGCCCAATTTAAACAGAGATCCACAAATGCATGATACCCACTCATGCAGGGAATGTTCCCATGTGTCTGGAATGGAAGGTGCACTCTGTCCCCTGTTCACATAGTGCTTAGAGTATTAAGCGCAGGTTGGAAGGTCAGAGCGAGGATAATAATGGCTAATTCATGTTGTACAGTAACTGGGGAACCGAAAGCGATGAAAATCAGGCCTATCACAACGGGAACTCTGACCCCAGAGGATTCGGTAAGATCAACTTTCTTTAGTTTTAATCTGTTAAACGTTTCTAAACTGACTGAAAAATTAAACCCTGTTGCCAATATTTCACACCAATAAAGTCTTGCATTATTTTATAGTGACTAATATTAAACCATTATTATTTTGCACATGTAAGAGATTCAGATGGAGATGACCAATACGGTTGTGTAATAATCCATGGTTTATTAAGTAATATAAATAGCTTAATTTATTCTTAAAACTGAGACCATGGATACAGTAGAATCAATATCAATTCTACTGTATCTATGGTCTCTCATGATTGGCTCCCGTCAGCGCCTCCTCATCTCAGGCGCGAACAACATCACCATCCATGGTTGCACACTCCACTTTGCTAAGCCAGTCCAGAACCCTGGTGTCTTCTATGACCCTCAACTATCCTTTCTACCCCACATCTGCGCCATGACCCGTTCTGCCTTCCCCCACCTCCGCAACATTGCCCCGGCTCCACCCTGTCTCACAGGCCACCAAAACCCTCATACGTGCATTCGTAACATCCAGGCTCGACTATGCAAACTCCTTGCTTGTCGGCCTCCCCAATGAAAGTTTAATTTGATTGGTGGTCACCACACAGCCACAGAGAGTTCAGGAGGTGGTCACCCCAGCTACACAGAAGAAGGGTGAATGGGTGACCATCCGATGTAGAGCAAAAAAAGACAGGCAGTACAGAAATCCTCGAGTGTGGCACTCACAAACCGGTTCTCGGTACTGCATACCGGTGAGGACTTCTGGCGAGAAGAGTCAAAAGATAATGGATGTTCAGGGGGATAAGGGGAAAAATGCCAATACTGTTGTTATCGGGGATACAACAGTTAAAGGGATAGACAGGCGTTTCTGCCATAAAAGACGGGACTTGCGCATGGTATGCTGTCTCCCTGGCGCATGATGTCATGGAACGGGTGCAAAATATACTACAGGGTGAAGTGGAAAATCCGAAAGTTGTGGTCCATATCGGGATCCACAATGTAGGTGATAAAAGGGTTGAGACCTTACAGGGAGAATATCAGAAGCTTGGGAAGAAGCTAAAGAGTAGGACCTCAATGGTGGTGATCTCAGGATTACTCCCAATGCCTTATGCAAGTGAATACCAAACCGGGAGGATCAAACGCATGAATGCCTGGCTGGAAAAATGGTGTAGGAAGGAGGGCTTCAGGTTTCTAAACCACTGAGACCACTTCCGGGGCAGATGAGACCTGTACACAAGGGATGGGTTACACCTGAACAGGGCTGGGACCAATGTCATTGCAACAAGGATAACAAATGCTGTGGGGAAGCGTTTAAACTGATTTCGAGGGGGGATGGGGATCAAAATGTAACATCAGGGAGGGGAAATGAGTTACATAGTGGACGAGGAGAGACAAATAGAAATGAAACAAGGAATAGTCCAGCAAAAAGTGGAAAGAGACGGGGGAGAAATGTAGAGAGGATTAAGCCGGTTTTGGAGTGCATGTGTGTAAATGCACGGAACATGACCAATACGTTGTGAGCTGCAGGCTCAAATTGCCACATGGGGCTATGATGTATTGGCAATTACAGAGACTTGGCTCAAGCAAGGAGAGGAATGGGAGCTGAATATTCCTGGCTACAACCTATTTCAGGAGGGATAGGGAAGGAAAAAAAGGAGGAGGGGTGGCAATACTCATTAGGAACACGATCATGGTCCTGGAAAAGGACGATGTGTTAGAGTCCGAAAACTGAATCTATCTGGTTAGAGTTACGAAGCAGAAAAGGAACTGTTACTCTGTTAGGTATTTACTATAGTCCTCCAAATAGTGGGAAGGAGATAGATGAGCAAATCTGCAAGCAGATTTCGGAGAGATGCAAAACCAATAGAATAGTGATAATGGGAGATTTCAATTATCCTAACATAGACTGGGAAACACACAGTGTAAAGGGCAAGAAAGGGGAGGAATTCCTGAAATGTGTGCAGGAGAACTTTCTGGATCAGCATGTTTTCAGCCCAACGAGGAAGGAAGCAGTGCTGGGTCTAGTTCTGGGAAATGAAGTGGGGCAAGTGGAGCAGGTTTCAGTCGGAGAGCATCTGGATAATAGTGATCACAACATCATTAGGTTTAGAATAGTTATGGAAAAGGATAATAATCAATCAAAGGTAAAGACCCTCAACTGGAAGTGGGCAAATTTCAGTGAGCTAAAAAGGGACCAGGTCAAGATAGATTGGAAAGAAAGATTTGGCAGGAAAGACAGCAAACGAACAATGGGAAGCCTTCAAGGAGGAGATAGTTCGGAGACAGAGCAAATACATTCCCACAAAGGGGAAAGGTAGGACAGTCAAACCTCCCTGGATGACTAAGGAAATTGGGATTAAAATAAAACAGAAAAAGGAGGCTTATGACAAATGTCAGGTCCAAAACACACAGGATAATCAAATAGAATATAGGAAGTATGGAGAAGTGAAAAGGGAAATAAGAGGGGCGAAGAGATTGTACGAGAAAAAATTAGCAGAAAACATAAAAGGGAACCCTAAAGTATTTTATAAGCATATCAAGAGTAAAAGGTTAGTCAAAGGTAGAATGGGTCCAATTAGGGACCGAAGTGGAAATATTCTTGTTGAGGCAGAGGGCATGACTAATGTACTAAATAAGTACTTTGCAACTGTCTTCACAAAAGGAGACGATGCAACCAATGCCACAATATCGCAAGTCTGTGAACAAAAATTGGATATGATAAAAATCAACAGAGAGGAGGTACTAAAAAGGCTGTCGGTCCTCAACATAGATAAGTCACCTGGTCCAGACAGGATGCATCCTAGGTTACAGAGGGAAGCAAGAGTGGAAATAGCGGAGGCTCTGTTCACAATCTTTCAATCCGCTTTGGACACTGGAGTGGTGCCAGAGGACTGGAAGGTTGCAAATGTTACTCCCCTGTACAAAAAGGGTCAGAAGGATAAATCTGAGAACTACAGGCCAATCAGCCTAACATCAGTAGTAGGGAAACTTCTGGAGTCTATAATCCGGGACAATATAAATTCTCACTTAGAAAAATATGGTTTAATAAAGGACAGTCAACACGAATTTGCTAAAGGCAGATCGTGTCTGACAAATCTAATAGAATTTTTTGATGAAGTGACTGAGAGGGTGGATGAAGGTAGTGCAGTAGACGTAGTTTTATCTAGATTTTCGAAAGACATTTGACAAAATGCCACATAAGAGACTTGTAAACAAAATAGAAGCCCATGGTATTAAAGGGACTGTGGCAACATGGATCCAGAATTGGCTAGGAGACAGAAAGCAGAAAGCAGTGGTAGTAAACGGTTGCTTTTCTGACTGGAGGGAGGTGTGAAGTGGTGTCTCTTAGGGGTCGGTATTGGGACCACTGCTATATTAATGATCTGGACCTGGATATAGAGAGCACAATTTCCAAATTTGCAGATGATATTAAGCTAGGAAAAGTAGTTAATGGTGAAGAGGATGGCACCAGACTCCAAAAGGACTTAGATAGATTGGTAAAATGGGCAGAAACGTGGCCAATGAGGTTTAATGTGGAGAAATACGAAGTGTTGCATTTTGGTAGGAAGAATGAGGAGAGGTAGTATAAGCTAGATGGTACAATCTTAAAGGGGGCAAATGAGCAAATCTCTGAAGGTGGCAGGACAGGTAGATAAAGCTGTTAAAAAAGCATACGGGATACTAGGTTTTATAAGTAGGGGCATAGAATTCAAAAGTCATGAGGTTATCTTGAATATTTATAAAATGCTGGTTAGGCCTCAGTTGGAGTACTGCATTCAGTTCTGGGCACCACACTTTAGGAAAGATGTTAGGGCATTGGAGAGGGTGCAGAGGAGGTTTACCCAGATGGTACCAGGAATGAAGGACCTTAGTTAGGAGGAGGGGTTAGTGAAACTAGGATTATTCTCCCTAGAGCAGAGAAGATAAAGAAGAAATTTAAGAGAGGTTTTTCAAGATCATGAGAGGATTTGATAGGTTGAACCGGGAAAAACTGTTTCCACTGGCATGTGGGTCAGTAATAATAAACCTTGCATTTGATATAGCGCTTTTCACGTCTTCTAGACGTCCCAAAGCTCTTCACAGAATATACTGTAAAGTGAATTGACTGTATATTTGTGGGCGAACGCAGCAGCCAATTGTGCACAGCAATGTCCCACAAACAGTCATGGATTGAAAATGACCAATTTATTATTGTTTTTTGTTTTGGAGGGATTATTATTAGGCGTGTGGAGGAAGGAAACTTGCCCAAGGTTTCGCCCTGACGGGAATTGAACTCGGGTCTCTCACTTGCAAAGCGAGTGCTCTAACCACTGAGCTACAGGACTCCAGTAACCCAAGGACATCGATTTAAGATAGTTGTTAAAAGAAACAGAGGGGAGGTTAGGGAAAAAAAATTCACCCAGTGAGTTGTTCGGATCTGGAATGCATTACCTGAAAGGGTAGTGGAAGCCGATTCAATAACAATTTTTAAGAGGGAAGTAGATGGGTATTTGGGGAGGACAGGATTGAAGGGCTATGGAGAGAAGCGGGCCAGTGGGATTAGTTGGATTACTCTTTTAGGAGCCGGTGCAGATACAATGGGCCGAATGGCCTCTTTCTGTGGTATATGATTCTATGATAATCTCAGGATTTTGAGAGATGCTCCTCCGCCTACCCTTTCACGCCTCACACATCCTGACCTCAAATGCCAACTGCAAGGCAATGCTGGATTTCCTCAAATCCAAAGTTGAGGGAATCAGCTCAGCTGCCTCTGCTAAACCCTCCACATCTCCTCTTCCCAACCCGGCCCCTAACCATCCCTCCTCCCTCCACATCTTTGAACCTGTCTCCCCCTCCTCTCTCATCACCACCATAACCCATATGAAACCCACCACCTGCTTCCTCGGTCCCATCCCTACCCCCCTCCTTACCTCCCAGCTCCAACTTCTTACCCTTCTACTCACTGACATAGTCAACCTCACCCAGTCCTCTGGTACTGTTCTCACCCCTTTAAAAACCGCTGTCATCACTCCTATCCTTAAAAAACCCTCCCTGGATCCTTCTCTCCTCCCTAACTACCACCCCATCTCCAACCTCCCCTTCCTCTCCAAGGTCCTGGAACGAGTCGTTGCTTCTCAATTTCGCTCCTTCCTCTCCCACCACTGCCTTCTCAAACCCCTCCAATTGGGCTTCTGTGCCGCCAACAGCACAGAAACAGCCCTGGTCAAAGTGACAAATGACATTCTGTCCACCTGCGACCAGGGGTCCCTCTTCATCCTCCTTGACCTCTCTGCTGCTTTCGACAATGTTGACCACAGTGTCCTCATCCACCTCCTCTCCTCTCACCGCAACAGCGCTGTCCTTGATTGGTTTAGATCGTACCTCTCACACCGCCTACACTTCATCTCCTCAAATGGCTTCTCCTCTAGACCCTGGACCGTCTCATGCGGCATTCTTCAGGGCTCTGTCCTTAGTCACTTCCTCTTCAATATCTATATGCTCCCTCTTGGTGACATCATCCGCAGACACGGGGGCAACTTCCACATGTATGTGGATGACACTCAGCTCTGTATCTCACCACCCTTGACTCCAGGACCACTGCTGTCCTGACAGAATGTCTGTTGGACATCAAGTCCTGGATGAGAGCTAACTTTCTTCAGTTGAACGTCAACAAGACCGAGGCTCTCCTGATTGGCTCCCGTCAGCGCAGCCTCACCTCATGCCCTGACATCGTCATCCATGGTTGCACACCCCACCATTGTTTGACCCTCAACTATCCTTTCTATTCCACATCAGTGCCATGACCCGCTCTGCCTTCCCCCACCCGCAACATCGCCCGGCTCTGCCACTATCTCACACCGCAGGCCGCTGAAACCCTCATACATGCTTTCATTACATTGAGGCTTGACTATGCAAACTCCCTGCTTGTCGGCCTCTCCAACTCCTCCCTCCATAGGCTGCACATCATGCAGAACACTGCAGCCCGTGTCCTCTCCGGCACTAGGCTCCGCGACCCTATCACCCCCATCCTCGCCCAACTCCACTGGCTTCCCATCACACAGAGGATACAGTTCAAGATCCTGGTCCTCACCTTCAAAACCCTCCAAGGTCTTGCTCCCCCCTATCTCTCTGATCTCCTAAGCCCCTACCATCCTGTTCACTCCCTCTGCTCAGCAGATTCCAGCTTGCTTCACGTCCCCCCTGCCCTCCATCCTCCCCCACCCTGACCCCCAGCTCGGGTCCGTAACTCTGTCTGTCCAGCGCCTTGGGATGTCCTCCTGACATGAAAGGTGCTTTACAAATATAATGTTGTTGTTGCTTGAAACCTCTGGTAACAAGTGTGAAAAGTTCAGTTTGGCAGTTAATTGTCTTAGTTGATACCTTGAAGTCATAAACTCCTTTCAAGAAATTCTTTCTACCAGACTGCCAGGCACCAAGAGTTCAATTAATCAGGACAATGTCCCATCCAAAGGATATCACACATTACTGTTAGGCCCCAATCTTCCAAATAAGTAAAGGAACAACACGCATCCATCAAGTTTTGATCAAATGTGTCACAGAACCCAAACACACAGACCTCAACTACCCTTTCTGGTCCAAGTTTTAAAACACATTCATTAAGATCAATCAAGATATTGCTCCCAGTCCTTACACATCCAGGGTTATCGAACAGTGATTTTGACCATAATCTTATACACACAGCCCAACATTTAGCATGAAGGGAATGACCAACTTACCTGGGTTTTATCAAATCCTTACTATTTTCCAATAGCGCCGCAGGATCTTTAATGTCCAGCTGAACAGGCAGACTGATCTGAAAGACAGTATCCAGCAATGCCCTGCTACCTCCAGTACTGATACGATGGAATGTCTGCCTTGATTGTGGACTCAAAGTCCCTGATGTTGGCCTTGAACTCACAACTTTGTAAAGCAGAGGCAAGAGCATGACCGACTCTGAGGCAGGCTGGCACCTGGAAAGCGTGGTGCCGCCACTAACTACCAACTTGTGGTATTCCAACAACTGACGAGCAATTATTCTGACCAGGTATTTGTTATTTCCTCCACAGGTCACATAGGCATCGCTGTACCTGACGTTTACGCCACATGCAAACGGTTTGAGGAGCTGGGAGTGAAGTTTGTGAAGAAGCCAGATGATGGTAAGTGGGCACTGAAACCTCTCAGCCTGTCTGGTTCCAGGGAGCAATTGAGGCATTGAAAATGCAGAACTTAACATCTTAGAGCGCCTTTATTATCAATGTCTCAAAGTACTTCACAGGGAATTGCTGTCAAGTGTATTTATTGTTTATGTAATAAACACAGAGGTGTTTATGCTATCAAACAGCCATGAAAGGAATAATAATAATCCCTGCATTTAATTTAGTGCCTTATTACATTGTTGAGAAGACTCCAGCACTGCACAGAATATATTATAAAGTGGAGTGACTGTGTATTTTATGGGCGAAATGCAGCAGGTAATTTCGCACAGCAATATCCTACAAACAGTCACCAAATTTTTTGGAGGAGGGATTATTACCTCTGTCAATTGGGTTCCAACTTATACTGCTAGGTAAACAGAGGTGTACGGAGTAAGGCAACTTGCCTCAGTCCCCTCCACTTCAACAACAACAACAACAAGATTCCATTTATTGAGCGCCTTTCACATCGGGAGGACGTCCCAAGGCGCTGACTTCAATATCTGTATGCTTCCTCTTGGTGACATCATCCGCAAACATTGGGTCAACTTCCACATGTATGCGGATGACGCCAAACTATATCTCTGTCTCCACCCTTGACTCCAGAACCACTGCTGTCCTGACAGAATGTCTGTCAGACATCAAGTCCTGGAGGAGAGCTAACTTTCTTCAGTTGAAAGTCAACAAGACCGAGCCCCTCCTGATTGGCTCCCGTCTGCGCCTCCTAACCTCAGGCGCTGAAAGCATCACCATCCACCTTGCTAAGCCAGTCCGGAACCTTGAGGTCTTGTTTGACCCTCAACTAGCGTTTCTACCCCACATCTGCACCGCACCCTGCTCTGCCTTCCCCCAACTCCGCAACGTTGCCCGGCTCTGCCACTGTCTCACACTGCAGGCCGCGAAACCCTCATACATGCAAACTCACTGTTTGTTGGCCTCCCCAACTCCTCCCTCCAAAGGCTGCAGATCAGAACTCTGCAGCCCGTGTCCTCTCCCGCACCAGGCTCTATGACCCTATCACCCCCATCGTTGCCCAATTCCACTGGCTTCCCATCACACAGAGGATACAGTTCAAGATCCTGGTCCTCACCTTCAAAACCCTCCAAGGTCTTGCTCCCCCCCACCTCTGCGACCTCCTAACCCCCTACCATCCTGCTCGTTCCCTCCACTCAGCAGGCTCCAGCCTGCTTCATGTCCCCTGCCTCGCTTTGAAAGGCACTATACAAATGTAATTTTGTTGTTGTTGTCTGAAGTTTCCCCCAGCTCCAGGAATTGAACCTGGGTCCTCTCGCTGTGAGGCGAGTGCTTTAACCACTATGCTACAGGAGTCCACTGGCCAATTTATCCCAAGGATTGTTGGCCAGGACACCAGAGAAACTCCCAAGATCTTCCAAGGTCTTTGATAGCCACCAAAATGGCAGGAACATTACATGTGTTTTTATAGCATCTTATCAAACTGCTAAAGCCAGATCAGGTCAAATGTATCGTAAGACTTCATTTTTCACTCCTACTGTGTAATAGTGACAGGATTTATAATGATGATAATCCTTGCATTTAAATTAGCTCATTTCACGTCAGGAGACCTTCTCAAGCATTTCACAGGATATACTGTGTAAATTGTAGTGTCTTTGTGTTCTGTGGGCAAATGCAGCAGTGAATTTGCATATTGCAATGACCCACATACAAGCAAGAAGTGAATGGTTGATTTTATCTGGGATATTGTCAGCCAGGACACCGTGAAAAACTCCCTGCTCCTAGATATTTAACGTCCACCTGAACAGGCAGACGCACCTTGGTTTAAAGTCTCATCCGAAAGGCTGACACCTCCAACAATGTTCAAAGTCCCATGGGGCTTAAACTTACAGCGTTCTGACACGGTGGCAAGAGTGCGAGCGACTGAGCAAAGCTGACCATTTTATTCATTCATTCATTTATTATTTCCTTTTAGGTAAAATGAAGGGCCTTGCTTTCGTTCAGGACCCAGATGGTTACTGGATCGAAATCCTCAGCCCCAATCGCATGACCACCATCACATCTTAAACTGGAGACCAGATCAGAACAGACTACTGCCATGTTCAGGGTACAAACCCAAACTGTGGGGGTACATGCCTCCAACTAGAGTTCAAATGTAAACAGTCCACCCCTTGAATGGAATAAATGTACCTTAAAATGACTATAGAGAAACAACGACAGCCTCTGATATCAATTTTGAAGACTAAAATGTTTTAAATGCAGTTTTCTCTGGGTTTTGAGTCCTACCTCACAAACCGCCAGCAGTACATCTGCATAAACGGCTTCTCCTCCCGCCCCCTCCTCTTTCTGATCTACATGCTCCCTCTTGGGGATGTCATCCGCAGACATGGCATACATTTCCACACCCAATTCTATTTTTCCACCTCTCTTTGCGACCCCCAGTCCCCTGATGTTCTGTCAGCCTGCCTGTCAGATCTCAGGGGCTGGATGAGCGCAAACTTCCTTCAGCTAAATGTTGACAAGACGGAAGCCATACTCTTCGGCTCTCGTCAACATCTAAAATCTCACGGTTCTCACCTCCTCCACCTACCCGACCTCCCCCTAAAACTCTCCGAACCTGTATGCAACCTAGGTGTCAGTTTCGACCCCCAATTATCCTTCCTCCCCCATATCCGGTCCCTCACCAGCGCCACCTTCTTCCACCTCAGACACATTGCCCGTCTCCACCAATACCTCTCCCCAAAAGCTGCTGAAACTCTGGTCCATGCCTTTGTCACCTCTCGGCTGGACTACTCTAACACCCCCCTCGCCGGTCTCCCATCCACTACCATTCATAAAATCCAACTCATTCAGAATTCTGCCGCCCGCATTCTCGCCCACATGAAGCTCCGCTCCCTGATCACCCCAGTCCTTGCCCAGACTGCACTGGCTCCCTATCCCAGAGAGGATCAATTTCAAGATCCTCACCCTCGTATTCAAGTCCATGCACTCCTCTCCTCAGCACAGTACCTGTTGCCTTCGTTCCTCCGGGTCTGGCCTCCTCCTCATCCCCCGAGTCCTCCGCTCCACCCTCGGCGGCCGTGCCTTCAGCCACTATGCCCCAAGGCTCTGGAACTGCCTTCCTCACTCCCTTTGTCTCGCTCCCTCCCCATTTTCAGGTCACTGCTGAAGACCTTTTGACTGCACCTTTGATCACCTTCCTCCCCTCCCCCTGGCTCAGTCCCGGGATCCTAAACTATAAAGCGCTCTGAGACGCTGTCCGGCGTGGAGGGCGCTATATAAATCCAAGTTGTTGTTGTTTTCATTCCAGTAGTGGGAATGAAAACTGTTGTGTGTCCCTCTCTCTTTCTGGCCCTCATTCTCTATATCCTTACTGTCTTTGTGTGAATGTCTCCCTCTACTTAACCTGGATTAGATCCCTGCATCTCATGGTGTTTGAGTAAAACTGTGAAGCTTGTTATTGCTCACAGGCATGCAGCTAAAAATATTTGGGAAACACAGGAGTAGGCCATTCAGCTCTTCAAGCTTGTTCTACCATTCTATTAGATCATGGCTGCTCTATCCCTCAATTCCATTCACCCTCCTTTACTCGTGCATCTGAAACAAGATAACTTGTGGGTATCTGACATGTGGATACTTGATGTACAGATATGGGGCATTCTACTGGATGAAGTAGCAAAGCCTATGCTTTATAACAATGCACTGCTACAAGAATCTGGATGTGAAGTGAACCTGCACCACCATGCTGTACTAAGTTATACTAAAGTCACCATTCCCCTAGCTTGGCATCGGGCACAGCCATAGTTAAGCACTCTGGGATGCCGCCCACCATGGGGAGCGCTATATAAATGCAAGAAGTTGTATTTGTGGAACGTATAGAGGCATCTTCCAATCTGCCATCATAGATATGATCTTCCATTTTAAGTTTAAAATGTGCATCAGACTGGTTGAAATTAAGTTAAGAGCATCCTTCCCCCACTGACCTGGCGACCAAAGGCACTAAACTGAGGCCAAAAGGTTGCATGTTTGATGCCAAGGTTGTGGTGAGTTGTCTGCTCTTGAGCTGTTAAAAATCATAATCGCAGGGGTGTACAGAGCAGCAAAGTTGCACTGACTTGACCTGTTCAGGTCACCAGGCAAAAAGGCTTCCCAGTCTATTCACATACTGAATGCCACAAATTGTTATGGGGCAAGGAGTTAACATGACAAGATTTTCCACAGGATTCGTAACTGAAAAAACTCCCAGAACGAACCCCGGGAGATCAATGCCTGAGCAGTCCTGGAGGATCAATGTGATATATCTGGTATTTGCCATTTACTTATTCCTTTGGGAATCTCCAGTGCAGACCTCCCCTCCTTTCCCACAACAAAATTACACTTGTATGGCGTCTTTCTCAACGGGAGGTCATCCCAAAGCACTGGGTTGCCTTCCATATTACTTTCCATTGCTAAATGAGCGATCTTCCCTTTTGTGCTTTTGAGAAACAGCATCACCTTACTTGGGACTTTGTCCCCTTGCATTCTATCAGTAATAAAGGTTTATTTTCACCAACACTGAGGCCGTTGTCCCTTTTGTGTATTGTGTCTTCTTGTACATCCACTCTGGGTTGAAAGTAAATGATTTTTTTATGGTGGGGGGGGAATGGTTGGCTAGAACACTGGGAGAAACGCTTCAAATCCAGTGGGATCTTTCAAGTTCCACCTGAACTGTCAGCCAATATCAGTTGAAACATCTCACATGAAGGATAGCCCCTCCAACAATAATAGCATACCCCCACTACTGCACTGGACAATATGAGTTCCAAGTCTTAAGGTGGGTCTTCAGGCTTCTGATTCAGGACCGAGGGCCACCAACTGAGCCAGGCCGACATACTGCATATTACATTCATTGTACACTGCCCAAATACTTTGCAGAAAAAGAGTAGCGATCCAATACCTCATGGGGATATACAAAGGGAGCAAAGCTACACAATTCAATATGTCCTGTTCTCCCTCCAGCCATGTGTCAGCATTTTAGGTCAGTATCCAATGCCAATAAAAATCGTTGCAGTTTGATGTCTGTAACATCAAGTTCTGCTGAGGTGGCAATTTGAGGGTAAACATAGCAGACAGCAAAGTCAATGATGAGGTGAATAACCCATTTAGCTGCAGTGACCAAAATCAAGGACAAACTCCCTTCTCATTAACAATGTTTAACATGGCGTCAAGTCAGCTATGTATTATAGAGTGAAAAACAAAAATAGTGTAAGGCAATGTGTACTTTTCTGCATCTCTCCTTTTCTGCTTATGCAAAGGACAGTTTGTAAGACTGGGCTGTAGAGGCGTCTGTCCACCGGGTAATAAACAAGTTGTAACCATTATACGGACTCAGAGCTGATGGTTTGGCTGCTAATTTGCTTCACAATACTTGGCATTTCCCCCCAGTTTGGCAGCAGGAGCCACAGTCGCTTTAAAGTGAAGACAAACAGTCAGTGGCCATTTTGAACAAAGGCATTTCAGAACTCAAGATTACAAAATGGTTCCTATCCTCAAACCAAGAACGTGCAGAGAGAGCACCAACTGGTTTAAACTACAGACAGGACCAATGGGACACAGCTCAGCCAACTTAAATTTTAATTCCCCAAACAGAAAATGCACTTCACAATCCAAACACTCTATTGTGCATTTCTTTTTAAATACATTTAACAATGTATGGCTTAAAACGATTTTGATCGCCTCAGTAAAATATCGACCTAATGTGACTTTGGCTGAGGTTTTAAAAACCGGCAAATGTACCCGAGGCACTGCTACCACAGGGGAAGATCCTGATTTACTCACATGAAGAAGCCGTTTAAACCAGAGACTGGAGAGAAGCAGCACAAGAGTGAGATGAGGGAGGGGCAGTGAGGTATCAAAAGCATTTAATTCAAGGCATCAAGTAAAGCACTGCAAATTTTATTTGTTTCCATTAGGCAGGGATCAGTCTCCAGATTGGCAAGTTTTTGTACAAAAACATTCCGTGCTAGCTTGTGAAAATTCAAAATGAATAAGAAATGGTTTGTCAACTTTCTACCAGTATAAAACTCTCAAAAAATAAAACAGCAATACTTCAACACTAGCTTAATACACCACCAGAATCTTGTCTTTACAAAGCTTCGTTTCACAATACTTGTCTAAGCGGGATGGCACGGCACAGTCACCTTATTCTCTACATGCGTCTGTCTTACTGCAAATATTTGTCATCTTCAAATCACAAAGTAGTCACCAGTTCAAAAATAACAACATTGTAACATACACTTCCAAAGTGGATCGAGGAAGGCACGTTTATAATGTACCAAAGGGGGTGTTTCTTACAACGAAGGCCGATCATAAACGAGAATTAAATTGTCAACATTAGCCACAGTATTTTTACCGGTTTCGGTGAAAAAAGTACATCTGATAAATAATCATGCCAGCCACCCCTTAGAGAGTTAGGGTCAACACCTCAAATTCTGCAACTGTTAATTCTATTGCCAAAAATCTCCTGGATCAGCATATATACACAACAGATGCAGGTATAAATACCGGAGACATTGAAAATGCAGTCCTATTTTGAGCAATCAATGCATATACTGCAAGGCTATACAGGTTTGCACGCTACACAAAAACATCGACTAGTGTTCCCATTTCATTAAGTTAATTGACAGGCACGAACGATTACTGAATGTCGGTTTTCCATCGAGAAAACTGGGATGTAGTTTTAAAAAAAGGCAAAAAGGATGGAAATTCTTAAGTTAAACGAGGATCCACCCGACCAGGCTGCCTGGCGGTGAAAAGGTGAAGTGTTCCCAACGCAGTTGCAAAATAAAATGTCGCCGCTGCTCAATACTGACTGCGTTGGCGGTTCTCCACACGGGGAGCTCGCCATCTCCATCAGAGCCACGTGGGGAAAAGCAAAGAGGCCTTTCTCTCGCTCTCCCGAAGTCGAGTCCCTGAGCCCACGGAGGAGAGGAACGAATGGTTTGGGACGAATCTACACAGCAGCATTGAACAAGCATTTCTGTCCAATTTCAACTGGAGTCCAACACGGGACAGGGCCAACAACCTATGGGGAGGGGGTACAGGTGAAAATGTGCAATGCAAAAACGTACAGTAACAAATGCAATTTAATTTCTCTCAATTTATTGGTACAGTAACTTTACCATGTAAAACAAACTATCCGGTCAGTCTTAGTCAAAAAGGAATGTGGTAAAACAAAAAGTCACGGGAGGGAAGAGGGTTTCAAACCGAAGCCTTCCCAAGGGCTGGAATTTAACACATCAAATGGGTCGATGAACCCAATAAACCTTACAAAAAGGGCAGTGGGGAGATGGGGAAGGCAAAGGCTTTTAAGCTCGATCTCCAGCTTTTTACACTCACAATAAATCAGTGCTTCCCTTCCCTCTCCCCAATGGGTTATATTTCAAAGAAACGAGTTGACAAATTAAAATGAAACTAAAGAGGCGCAATGGAAAAATCCTACATTAAACAAAACCACGAGAGTGAAGAGCATTTATTTCCCCTCATTTCTAGAATAAGAAAGTGAGTCTCTGCGACATATTGAATCCAGAAGACAGACAGACGGCGTTCGCTGCAAAAAACCTTATCTCGTTACAATGGGGCAATGGTGGAGAGAGAGAGAGAAAAAACGCCAAAAGGACGATTATCTTTCCGAGCCTGGGAGGGAAAAGGAACCAGTTTATCGGTTGTAACGATCGTAAGCGTTTCGATCCCAGTTAACGCCGCCGCCGCCCCGACTCCTCTGGCCATAGCCGCCACCGCCGCCGCCGCTGCCATACTGCTGGTAGCCTCCGTAGCCATAGCCACCGCCTCCCCGCCCTCTGCCAACGCCGGCCGACGACTTCTTCTCGGCCTGGTCCACGCGGATCTGTCGGCCATCGATGGACTTGCCGTTCATGGCGAGCAGCGCGTCCTTGGCATCGTCGGGATTCTCGAAGGTGATGAAGCCGAAGCCGCGGCTGTGCTGCGTGTCGCGGTCCTTGATGACCCGCACCTCGCTGATCTGCCCGTACTCGGAGAAAACCTCCTCCAGCGACTGCTCGTCCGTGCTGAAGCTCAGACCGCCGACGAAAAGCTTCCCTTCGTCAGACATTTTGATTCTCCTCCGGTTGTTCCCCTTCTTCTATGGGTTTAAAAACGTTGGCGGCGCCGCTCTTGACGCAGTGAAACCTGAGAGACGCTGCTGCCGTTGGACCCGAAGCTGAGAGACTCAGCAGCGGGAGCCAAGCCCTTTATATAGCCTCCTTCCCTTGTGCGTCGCGCTAAGTCGTCCCTCTCGCCTCGCCCACCGCGGCACCGGAAGGGACGGCCGATCGGCGCGTGCAGGGCTACAGGGGCAGCGCACATTAGTTCCGGCTACCAAGAGCCAACCAGAAACCTCTCCCACATAATTACTACAACTACAACAACTTACATTTATGTAGCGCCTTTAACGCAAGGCAGCGCTTAATAGCGGCGGATCATGACAACCGGTTTGGGGGGGGACATGACTATAATCACTCTAAAAGAGGTAGGTCTTCAGGTGTAGTCTGAAAAAGGGGAAGGCGGAGGGATTGAGGGAGAGAGTTCCAAAGTTTCATGGCTGAAAGCACAACACTGATAGTGGAACTGAGGGCATGAGGGAGAAACAGTCGGCCATAGCCAGTCGAGAGAGGTGATGGAGTGGGGAGTGCGCAGGTCGGAGACACAGGAAGGTACGAGGGCATAAAGGGATTTGTAGACGATTGTGAGGATCTTGAGGTTGATCCATTCTGTGATAGGGAGCCAGTGGAACCTGGTGAGGATTGGTGTGATGGGGTTATGGAATTTAGAGCAAATGAGTACACCTGAACAGGCATTACCACATTAGTCAGTGTCTCATCCAATGAAGAAGGCCATAAAGAATGCAGTGCACACACCCAAATTCAAATTAATTGGTCACTCATCCTCAATGTTGTAGCATCTCAACAGTTGCAAGGATTAGCATTTCACCTCTATGATAATAATCCTTGCGTTTGTTGATACAGTAATAATAGTTCCAAGACTTCCTCTAGGAGCTTGATGTGCTCCTCCTCTGTCTCGCTTGACAATAAGAGATCAGCAATGTATTATAGGAGTTGATCTGGCTGGGAAAAGGTTGCGAGGGCTTGTGCCATGTATCAGCGAAAGATGGACAGGGAGTTGTGGAACCCTTGAGGGAGACCCGTCCATGTGTACTGTTTCTCTTTATAACTAAAAGCAAATTTATACTGATGCTTTTCTGCGAGGGGATTACTGCAATAGCCATTAGAAATATCCAATGTGGAAAACAATTTTGCATTGGGTCCCAGGCGACTTAATATGTCGGGGGGGTGGATGCTACTGTTGGGGCAACAACAACACACAAAATTACATTTATAGAGCGCCTTTCACGTCGGGAAGACGTCCCAAAGAGCACGCGCCTTTGCGGCCGCGTTAAGGCACTGGTGGTCAACAGTTAGTCGCCAGGACCCATCCGGCTTCCTTACAGGCCAAATGGTCGAATTATTATCAGAGAATTCCCAAAGTATTCCTCATTTTAGAAGGGATTAGTCACTGTTTCTTGTTATCATTTGCCTCCTCGGCCTTCCCTTGGAAATGGGTAGGGTGTCTGAGGAGGTGGGTCTGGGACCCTCTGGCAGGACGGATATTTTCTGGCAGCCACAACCGGGTTTGGTTTAGTTTCTGGCAAAAACACCTCAGAGAACCCAAAACACCTCAGAGAACCCCCAAACACCTCAGAGAACCCCCAAACACCTCAGAGAACCCAAAACACCTCAGAGAACCCCCAAACACCTCAGAGAACCCAAAACACCTCAGAGAACCCAAAACTGTCGGCGGGGAAGGGATCCATCGGTTAGAATTGATGGGGTCGCACGTTTCCCCCCGAAATTGAACCTTCGGGACAAATGGGACGTGAAGGCAGAGGAGCCGCGGAACCGTTTGAAGGCTCTCAAGAGACAACACCGCCATTTTTCCTTCCAGTCCAAAAAAACCCCACTGAGTGGCCGCTCAGGTTATTGTTCCCGAAAACCAACCGATACGGCAGCTCCCGCACCGAACAACACGTGGCAGAGGCGGCACAGCAGACACCCGATCGACCCCATCCGGTCTTGCTGCAGAGGGTAGGGAGGCCGGGGGGAGAGGGGGGGAGAGGCAGGGGGGTGGGGAGGAGGCCGGGGGGGGGGGGAGGGAGGCGGAGAGGGGAGAGGGGAGGGAGGCCGGAGGGGAGGGGAGGGTGGTCGGGGGGGGGAGGGAGAGGGGAGAGAGGTCGGAGGGGGGGGAGGCCGGGGGGAGAGGGAGGGAGGCCGGAGGGGGGAGAGGGGAGGGAGGCTGAGGGGGAGAGGGGAGGGGGGGGGGGGGGGGGGGGAGGGGGGAGGGGAGAGGGGGAGGGAGGGGGGGGGGGGAGAGGGGAGGGAAAGTGGGGGGAGAGGGAGGGAAGGTGGGGCGGGGAGAGGGAGGGAGCCGGAGGGGAGGGAGGGGGGGGGGGGGGGGAGGCTGGGGGGGGAGGAGGGGAGAGGGGGGGGAGGAGGCGGGGGGGGAGAGGGGAGGGGGGGGGAGGGGAGGGAGGCTGGGGGGGGGAGGGGGGGGAGGGGGAGGGGAGAGGGGGGGGGGGGAGGGGGGGTGGGGGGGGGAGGGGGGGGGAGGGGGGGGGGAGGGGGGGAGGGGGAGGGGGGGAGGGGGGGGAGGGGGGGGGGGGAGGGGGGGAGGGGGGGAGGGGGGGAGGGGGGGGGGGGGGGAGAGGGGGGGAGGGGGGGGGGGAGAGGGGAGGGAGGGGGGGGAGGAGAGGGGAGGGGGGGGAGGGGAGGGGGGGGGGAGGGGGGGGGGGAGGGGGGGGTGGAGAGGGGAGGAGGGTGGGGGTGGAGAGGGGAGGGAGGGTGGGGGGTGGAGAGGGGAGGGAGGGTGGGGGTGGAGAGGGAGGGAGGGTGGGGGAGGGAGAGGGGAGGGAGGGGATCGGGGAGGATCCCCGGCTGAGGTGCAGGAGGACTGGTGGGTGGTGTTGGCTGCGGTCAGGGCGTTGAAGGATTGTTTGCCTCACGGCCGTTAATGATTATTATTTAAGTCGGTGATTGAGTTCACGAATCTTGTTCCAACAAATCAGCGACTTCATAGCCCTCTCTCTCGCCCCCGCCCTCTCTCTCCCCCCCCCCTCCCCGGCTCTCTCTCCCCCCCGCCGCCATCTCTCACCCCCCCGCCATCTCTCTCCCCCCCACCCCCCCACCCTCTCTCTCTCTCTAAGGAAGTTGCCATATGGCCCCTTTTACAGTGAGGATTGGCCTCTGTCTCGAGGAGGGTCTTGACCCCCAGATATGGGTTTTGCTTAACCCGGAACATAAAAGCCGCGCAAAACATCGGCATTAAGTGCTGGTCGGGGTGACCAAGACAGCAGACGTGGCGAAGCGGCAGATCACACACATGTCCAGGGTTCAGCTAACTGCTATAGTGATGGTATGTGATCCATAATCGAGCCCCACAGACAATTGGGTGTCCATCTGGTCGTTGCTGCAGTCTGCCATAATCTGAGCTCCGTTAACGGAACCGAACCCAGAAAGGGTCAAAAAACCATCGAGCAAGTGATTGCAAGGATGAAGTGACCTGGTTATTATGCACAGCTATAGGAGTCAATACAATTCGGGCGGCACCAAAGCCAAAAGAAGGTGTCTGGAATCTAGTTCGGTCAGATGATGTAAAGTCTCTGAGATGCTGTACTCTGTCCAGCGCCTTGGGATGTCCTCCCGCCGTGAAAGGCGCTATACAAATGCAATCTTGTTGTTGTCTCTGTCTATAAAAGTCTATCAAGATGACCAATTGGATCGTCACCAATCGGATAGGTCCCATTCTTTTTGCCAATTTCTCAATAGTTTCGGGGTGGGGGCACAGGAGGGCACCAGTGTGTTAGTAGTTAGGATAACATTTCCCTGGGCATCTAACTGGTGGCGGGTGACAATAAGGGCCTCAGGTGGTGAGGGAGCTGTCGGGTTCTCTAATAATATTACGAGACCAGACTATGTCCCATCCAAGAGATTTTATTGATATGAATAGGGGCACAGAGCCTGGCATGATATGAGAGAAACTTAGTACAACAATAACAAAATGACATTTGTATAGCACCTTTCACGTCGGGAGGATGTCCCAAGGTGTTGGACAATCAGTGTTTTGAACCCAATCTGTGGATTGGGATCGGGGGGGGGGAAGGGGGTAGTGGACAGTGGGGGAAGGAGGGTGACTGAAGGCACGGTTGAAAAGGAGGGTCTTGTGACAGGTTTTGAAGGAGGCAAGGGAGGGGGCGAGACGGAAGAACTGTGGGGTGGAGTTCTAAAGGATGAAGGCCCGCCCGCCAATGGTGGGGCAAGGTGGGGGACATAAAGCAGGACGGAGCCAGCTGAGCGGAGGGAGTGAACAAGATGGTAGGTGGTTAGGAGGTCGCAGAGCTAGGTGGGAGCAAGGCCATAGAGGGCTTTGAATGTGAGGACCAGGATCTTGAACTGTATCCTCTGTGTGATGGGAAGCCAATGGAGTCGGACGAGGATGGGGCTAATAGGGTCACAGAGCCTGGTGTGAGAGGGGACACAGGTTGCAGAGTTCTGGATGATCCGTAGCCTATGGAGGGAGGAGTTGGGGAGGCCGACAAGCCAGGAGATTGCATAATCAAGCCTGGATGTTATGAATGTGTGTATGAGGGTTTTGGCGGCCTGTAGTGTGAGACAGTGGCTGAGCCGGGTGATGTTGCGGAGATGGGGGAAGGCAGAGCGGGTCATGGCATGGTTGTGGGGTAGAAAGGATAGTTGATGGTCAAACAAGAAGCCAAGGTTCAGGAGATCCTCGGTCTTGCTAACGTTCAACTATAGAAAGTTGGCTCTCATCCAGGATTTGACGTCTGACAGGCAGTGTGCTTGGACATCAGTGGTCCTGGGGTTGAGGATGGAGGCAGAGATATAGATTTGGGTGTCATCCGCATACATGTGGAAGTTGACCCTATGTCTGCGGATGATGTCACCAAGAGAGAGCATGTACAGGTTGAAGAGCAGAGGACCAAGGACAGAGCCCTGAGAACACCGAATGAGATGCTGCGGGGGCTGGAGGAGAAGCCGTTTGTGGAGTCAAAGTGGAGCCTGTGTGAGAAATAGAATCTGAACCATTCAAGGACAGAACTTTGAAGGTTGAGGTGAGAGGAGAGGCGGTGGAGGAGGATAGAGTGGTCCACAGTGTCAAAGGCAGCAGATAGGTCGAGGAGGATGAGGTGACAGAGAGATTCGGCAGCTCTCTAGCCAAATTGTTCCAATTGATGGGATCATCTCCATCCTCACTCATTGGAGTAAATGTAGCTACGATACTGGACTGACTTTAGTCGGTGTGATCATTTTGTAATGATCAGTTTACAGTATGAGTGATCTGCACGATCTACTTTTTCTTTTTGCATTATGTTACACTGGGTGCGCAAGGCTGCACTAGCCCTTTCTAGCTCCAGTTCAAGTTTCTCAGTCTTCAGATGTAACCCTTCATTTTTTGCACCGATACCTCTCAGCGTTGTCGACTAACACCTTTTGGTTTTCTAAATGGTGTTTCTCTACTTCTTTTCCTATTTCTTAATACATTCCTTATCTTCGCTCTGCGTGCACAACAGTCCTAATTGTTTCTCCAAAGCCTGCTCAGTGGAGAACAAAGCTTGTATCACCATCCACTTGCGTTAACTTTTACTGTGCTTTTCCTCGAAATACTTATTCCCGTGCTCCTGGGCAGAACCCTAGAGTTTAGTTGCATAAATCACATCCTGAAATGATAGTCCTTTATTTTATGAGTTAATTATTTTTACAATAAAGTCTGTTTGTTCTTTTTATTGTAATACTCTTGCACGTTCCCGTTCTTTCATGTGTTGTCTTTATTTTATAACAGTCATGTGTGCTCCTTCTATTTTATAGCACTCTTGCACGTTCCTTCGTATCAATCTGGGAGAAACAGTGGATCTTGGGATCCGGTTTTGGACTGCTTACGGTATTTTCTTAATCTCCTTTCTATTAGGCTCTATTAGCAGTCCACAGATTTCCATGGTTCCTTAAAGTAAGAGGCCAGAAATTTTCCCTTCATCCACGACAAGGTTGCGCTTTATACTGAAAAGAGCTTCTCCTGCGTTAGTCTTTTCAGGTCCCTATTCTGGCAACAAAATGTTGGGTTTTCTGTAATAATATTCACAAGACCAGACGATGTTCCATCCAAAAGATTTTATTTTAGACCTGATGCGACTTTTACAACGGAAAAACAATACAAAAGCTTATGCTGTATTAAGATAATATTACAGAACGAAACATACTTGGTGGTCCTGGGAACTGGTCAGAGTTTTTTTTACAAAAAATATATTTTATTGGTAGATATATATTTATACTTATCTTAGAAAGAATCAGAATCCGTCACAGAAAAAAGAGAAGCAACATTTTTTCCCGTTACAGGACTCAACAAACCCGGCCCCTTGTGGGGTGAGTGGGTGGGGTTGCCTCTGCACACTCCACTTTGGTGGAGCGACCAAGGCTTCCCCGACTTGGGGTTCTAACACCTCTTGCAGAGTGCAGTTACAATGGGGAATACGGACAGGATAACAGCACGCAGGTAGTGCACACATTTTTTGGGACTCTCCATTTGAGCAATCAGGAAACATCCGTGTGCATTACATATCAACATATCACTCCCATATCAACCGGTCCGCTCCCTCCGCTCAGCAGGCTCCAGCCTGCTTCACGTCCCGGCCTGGCCCACCATTGGCGATTTGGCTTCAGCCTCTCTGTCCCACCCCTTTGGAACTCCATGCCACATTCCCTTTGTCTCCTTCCCTCTCTTAGCTCCTTCAAGGCAAGTCGCAAGACCCTCCGCTTCGACTGCGCCCTCAGCCACACTCCTATCCTCCATGATCCTAACCCCCCCCACCTGCTCAGGTCCAAATTCCTGACTGTCCAACCCCTTGGGATATCCTCCAATGTTAATACAATAAATGTGTGATAAGGTGCACTTGTGATTTCGCATGGCGCCCTGACCCGCACCGTATGCACTTGTGTACCCAATAAAACGCCCGGTAACATTGCAAACACAAACCAATACACTAAATACCCAACCAGTCCCACATCTGTCACCGCAGATCTACAGGGAGCAGTTACACAGGTATGCTTGTCCTGGCTCTGCTGTCCAATGAGCCCTTACCTCACTCCCTGACGCTCACCCCTTTAGGAGACAGGCAGCCATACATACATTTTCGGGACATTGAGCATTACACATTGAGCGTGGCTCATCAACAGCACCTGGAAGGGCAGTCCAACCATTGGGGGCAGGGCTCTACCCATTCAGATCCCGTTACCCCTGCAAGCCAAAGCCCTAACAGGTAGGGTGGTCCTAGCTAGACAAGCAGCAGGAAAGTCTTGCCAACCTGCGCCTAATACCTTCCGGAATTAGGTAGCCAGGATGCATCCCTCCATGGAGAGAGTGCACATTCCATTCCAACAATCTATCTCTGGAGTAGGTGGAATGACTCCATTGTGGAGTCCTACAAGTGAGAGATCTGGATTTGATTCCCGGCAGGGTGAAATGTTGGGCAAGTTTCCTTACTCCACACTCAGTATTATTTACCTAGCATTTACCTAGTAGTAAATAGCAACCTGTTTTTTAGTTGATTAGTGGATTGCTTTTCTGGGAGTAATAGTTCCTTCCAAAAAAAAATTGGTCACTTCAATACGGGACATTGTTGTATGCAATTGGCTGCTGCATTTCACCCACAAAATATAGTCAATTCCCCTTACAGTATATTCTGTGAAGTACTTTTAGACGTCTTGAAGATAGGATAAGGCACTATATCAAAATGCAAGGATTATTTTATTATAACTGGAACTCTCAGTTCACTTTGCATACCCTGGTATCCATGGTGATGGATTTCAGCATGTGTCAGACCAAAAAAAAGCTCGAAGACCTTTCTCATCAACTGTACTTAATGTCATCTCCCCGTGTTTGGCTCCGCTACTGTTAAGTGCTCCAGGAAGCTGTCCTGCCTTAAGGGTGGTATATAGATGCAAGTTGCTGTTGCAGTCCAGAACTCTGCAGGCCGTGTCCCCTCCTGTACTAGGCTCCGTGACCCTATACTCGCATACTCGCCCAACTCCACTGGCTTCCCATCACATAGAGGATACAGTTCAAGATCCTGGTCCTCACCTTCAAAACCCTCCCTGCTCTTGCTCCCCCCCCCACCTCTGCGGCCTCCTAACCTCATACCATCCTGCCCGCTGCCTCCGCTCAGCGGGCTCCGACCTGCTACACGGCCCCCGCCTCAACATCGGCAGGTGAGCCTTCGGCCATTCTACTCCCACCCTCAGGACCTCCATCCCACAACCTCTCGGTCTCGCCGCCTCCCTTGCCTCCTTCAAGACCCGGCTCAAGACGCTCTTCTTTGACGTGCCTTCGATCACCCTCCTTCCCCCCCTGCCCTCCAGCCCCCTGCCCTCCACACTCCTTCCCCCCACCCCCTGCCCTCCACACTCCTGGACCCCCAGCTTGGCTCTGAAACTCTGACTGTCCAACGCTTTGGGACGTCCTCTGGATGTGAAAGGCGCTGCATAAATGCAAGTTGTTGTAGTCGTCGCAGTTATGTGGGAGAGGCTTGTGGTTGGCTCTTGGAAGCCGGAACTAATGTGCGCTGCCCCTTGAAGCCCTGCACGCGCTGACCGGCCGGCCGGCCCTTCCGGTGCCGCGGTGGGCGGGGCGAGAGGGACGACCAGCGCGACGCACAAGGGGAGGTTATATAAGGGGCTTGGCTCCCGTTACTGAGTCTCTCAGCTTCAGGTCTAACGGTACCATCATTTTTTTTAGGTCTCACTGCGTCAAGAGCGGCGCCGCCGACGTTTTTTAAACCCGTAGAAGAAGGGGAACAACCGGAGGAGAATCAACATGTCTGACGAAGGGAAGCTTTTCGTCGGCGGTCTGAGCTTCAGCACGGACGAGCAGTCGCTGGAGGAGGTTTTCTCCGAGTACGGGCAGATCAGCGAGGTGCGGGTCATCAAGGACCGCGACACGCAGCTGAGCCGCGGCTTCGGCTTCATCACCTTCGAGAATCCCGGCGATGCCAAGGACGCGCTGCTCGCCATGAACGGCAAGTCCATCGATGGCCGACAGATCCGCGTGGACCAGGCCGAGAAGAAGTCGTCGGCCGGCGGCGGCAGAGGGCGGGGAGGCGGCGGCTACGGAGGCTACAGCCAATATAGCGGCGGCGGTGGCGGCTATGGCCAGAGGAGTCGGGGCGGCGGCGGCGTTAACTGGGATCGAAACGCTTACGACCGTTACAACCGATAAACTGGTTCCTTTTCCCTCCCAGGCTCGGAAAGATAATCGTCCTTTTGGCGTTTTTTCTCTCTCTCTCTCCACCATTGCCCCATTGTAACGAGATACGGTTATTCGCAGCGAACGCCGTCTGTCTGTCTTCTGGATTCAATATGTCGCAGAGACTCACTTTCTTATTCTAGAAATGAGGGGAAATAAATGCTCTTCACTCTCGTGGTTTTGTTTAATGTAGGATTTTTCCATTGCGCCTCTTTAGTTTTAATTTAATTTGTCAACTCGTTTCTTTGAAATATAACCCATTGGGGAGAGGGAAGGGAAGCACTGATTTATTGTGAGTGTAAAAAGCTGGAGATCGAGCTTAAAAGCCTTTGCCTTCCCCACCTCCCCACTGCCCTTTTTGTAAGGTTTATTGGGTTCATCGACCCATTTGATGTGTTAAATTCCAGCCCTTGGGAAGGCTTCGGTTTGAAACCCTCTTCCCTCCCGTGACTTTTTGTTTTACCACATTCCTTTTTGACTAAGACTGACCGGATAGTTTGTTTTACATGGTAAAGTTACTGTACCAATAAATTGAGAGAAATTAAATTGCATTTGTTACTGTACGTTTTTGCATTGCACATTTTCACCTGTACCCCCTCCCCATAGGTTGTTGGCCCTGTCCCGTGTTGGACTCCAGTTGAAATTGGACAGAAATGCTTGTTCAATGCTGCTGTGTAGATTCGTCCCAAACCATTCGTTCCTCTCCTCCGTGGGCTCAGGGACTCGACTTCGGGAGAGCGAGAGAAAGGCCTCTTTGCTTTTCCCCACGTGGCTCTGATGGAGATGGCGAGCTCCCCGTGTGGAGAACCGCCAACGCAGTCAGTATTGAGCAGCGGCGACATTTTATTTTGCAACTGCGTTGGGAACACTTCACCTTTTCACCGCCAGGCAGCCTGGTCGGGTGGATCCTCGTTTAACTTAAGAATTTCCATCCTTTTTGCCTTTTTTTAAAACTACATCCCAGTTTTCTCGATGGAAAACCGACATTCAGTAATCGTTCGTGCCTGTCAATTAACTTAATGAAATGGGAACACTAGTCGATGTTTTTGTGTAGCGTGCAAACCTGTATAGCCTTGCAGTATATGCATTGATTGCTCAAAATAGGACTGCATTTTCAATGTCTCCGGTATTTATACCTGCATCTGTTGTGTATATATGCTGATCCAGGAGATTTTTGGCAATAGAATTAACAGTTGCAGAATTTGAGGTGTTGACCCTAACTCTCTAAGGGGTGGCTGGCATGATTATTTATCAGATGTACTTTTTTCACCGAAACCGGTTAAAAATACTGTGGCTAATGTTGACAATTTAATTCTCGTTTATGATCGGCCTTCGTTGTAAGAAACACCCCCTTTGGTACATTATAAACGTGCCTTCCTCGATCCACTTTGGAAGTGTATGTTACAATGTTGTTGTTTTTGAACTGTGACTACTTTGTGATTTGAAGATGACAAATATTTGCAGTAAGACAGACGCATGTAGAGAATAAGGTGACTGTGCCGTGCCATCCCGCTTAGACAAGTATTGTGAAACGAAGCTTTGTAAAGACAAGATTCTGGTGGTGTATTAAGCTAGTGTTGAAGTATTGCTGTTTTATTTTTTGAGAGTTTTATACTGGTAGAAAGTTGACAAACCATTTCTTAATTCATTTTGAATTTTCATAAGCTAGCACGGAATGTTTTTGTACAAAAACTTGCCAATCTGGAGACTGATCCCTGCCTAATGGAAACAAATAAAATTTGAGTTGTTTTACTTGAAGCCTTGAATGAAATGTTTTTGGTTCCTCACTGCCCCTCCCTCATCTCACTCTTGTGCTGCTTCTCTCCAGTCTCTGGTTTAAACGGCTTCTTCGTGTGAGTAAATCAGGACCTTCCCCTGTGGTAGCAGTGCCTCGGGTACATTTGCTAATACGATTGTCGGTTTTTAAAATCTCAGCCAAAGTCACATTAGGTCGATATTTTACTGAGGCGATCAAAATCGTTTTAAGCCATACATTGTGAAAAAAATATTTAAAAAGAAATGCACAATAGAGTGTTTGGATTGTGAAGTGCATTTTCCATTTAAGTTGCTCCTGATGTTTAGTGGGGGAAGGGGGGATTTACAGTTGGCTGAGCTGTGTCCCATTGGTCCTGTCTGTAGTTTAAACCAGTTGGTGCTCTCTCTGCACGTTCTTGGTTTGAGGATAGGAACCATTTTGTAATCTTGAGTTCTGAAATGCCTTTGTTCAAAATGGCCACTGACTGTTTGTCTTCACTTTAAAGCGACTGTGGCTCCTGCTGCCAAACTGGGGGGAAATGCCAAGTATTGTGAAGCAAATTAGCAGCCAAACCATCAGCTCTGAGTCCGTATAATGGTTACAACTTGTTTATTACCCGGTGGACAGACGCCTCTACAGCCCAGTCTTACAAACTGTCCTTTGCATAAGCAGAACAGGAGAGATGCAGAAAAGTACACATTGCCTTACACTATTTTTGTTTTTCACTCTATAATACATAGCTGACTTGACGCCATGTTAAACATTGTTAATGAGAAGGGAGTTTGTCCTTGATTTTGGTCACTGCAGCTCAATTGGTTATTCATCTCCTCGCTGTCTTACGTGACTTTGCTGTGTGCACATTGTCACTGTTAGAAAAAATACCTATGCAGAGCTTCAAGATGTTTTGATGTTAGTTGATTTGCAAGGATTTTTAAGGAAATCCTGTGATATACATTAAATCCACCCAAAGTGAAAAATGCAACATAAGGGTTTTATATATATATATATATATTAGAGGTGAAATGCTCGCCTCAACAGTTTGTGGAATCTCACTGACTACAAGGATTGAATGACCAATTAATTTGAATTTAGGGGTGTGCATTGCTTTCTTTGGAGTGCTATCGCTCGGATGAGACACTAAACTGAAGTTTTGACTGCCTGTTCAGGTCGATGTTAAAGGTTGCATACAAGACAAGCAGGGAATATTTCCCTTGTCCTGGCCATAATCCTCCAGGTAAAATTGGTCCACCTCATCATGGATTATGGGACATGGCCATGCGGCAAAGCCCTACAATACAGTCATTACACTATAATAAATCCTGTGAAGCACTTTGATCCATCCTCTTGACAAAATGATGTTATATTAAATGCAAGGATTATGATTTATTTTGTTTATTCCTGCCTCACATTAGGACTTTTGAGTTCATAAGCTAAACTCACACTAGTCCAGGGAGAACTGCCAACTGTCCAGAGATGGCATCCTTTGGTTGAGATGTTAAACCAAGACAGACTGTTTAGGTAAATGTAGGTTAAAGAAATTCCATGGGATGCAAACTACTGGAGCCATGAGAGTAATGGGCTTGTGGAGCCTGGTGCAGGGGAGGACACAGACTGCAGTAATTTGGATGTCTGCAGTTTGCAGGGAAGAACTGGGGAGTCCAGTGATCAGTGAATGTTCAAGTAACCAAGTGATGATGATATGCAAAAGGGGTTTCTGCAGACCAGATGAGAAGCAATAATATAATGATCCTTGCATTTGATATCCAGTAGAATCTTCCATGTCAGGAGGATGTCTCAAAAAGCACTTCACAGGATTTACTGTGGTCTATTGATTTATTTGTTATTTTGTAACAATAATAATTCTTGCATTTGGTTGACTTTTTTGTTAGTGAACCAGCTAATTTGCACACAACAATGTCCTACAAACAGTCATGGACTGAGACGCTTCCCCTTCGCACTCATCCCTCCTAAATCACCCACCAGCTTGGGGTGGGTGCTGCAAACCCTGACTGTCCAGTGCCTTGGAACATCCTCCCAATTTGTTATTGTTGCTTAGTGAGTGTCAGGATCAACTCAACCCTCTGTGATGGCTTCTGCACCTCCAGCTGGTGGAACCATTGCTCAATGGGAATGGATGTGTGTTTGACACATGGGCAGAAAGATGGTAACAATACTCATGCATTTCGTGCTGAACTAGTGAGGGCTCAAGCCTGTGCTTGTTGGATGTTGAACGACCACCAAGAATGATTCTCTGGGGGAGCTAAAATGGCTCCAAGGTGACAGGTTTGGCAAAGGAATGTTGGAATTGAGCCAGCCCTCTGTGACTGTCTCTAGTACGGTTCCTGAGCCAGGTGGGTCTGCACTACTCCAGGACACTGCTGACAACACAGCCAGACTGGTAGACTTGAACAGGGCAAACCAGTCACTAGCAGCGTGGATTCTTCCCTCTCGGGTCCTGTTAATCCTGCAAGCCAAAGCCCTAACTCGTAGGTTAGTCCCAGCTGGACAAGCAACAGGAAAGCTAGGTAGTTTCTCAATGTCAAGCTATGTGATTTTAGCTGGCTGGTTGGACTCCAGCAGTTACCTCAATGTACACTCTGAGGTCCCCAAGCCTTGGCTCTTGCCAACCTACGCTTAATACTCTCCATAATTAGGTAAGCAGGATGCATCCCTCCAGGGAGAGGGTGTGCATTCTATTCCAAACACATGGAAATGTTAATGTGTAGGTGTCATGGATGGCAGAGCTGAGTGGTTTTGATACATTTAAGCACAGTGATTGGTTTCTACACGTGTCAGGCACCCAGCTGACCATAAAAATAAACATAATTGTAGTTTTAAGATGTTAGCAGCACCTGTGGGAACATAAAAAAGGGTCAGGCTGTGGGGTTGCAGAAAGAATGAAAGTGCTTGTGGGTTAGAGAGGGAAGTGAAAAATAGCAAGGTGAGATACAGTAAATCATGTCCAGCATCCTGTATCCTCTCCTGCACCAGGCTTCATGTGCCCATCATCCCCATTCTTTCCAGGCTACATGGGCTCCCCTTCCAGCAGATTATAATAGTAATAATTTGATATAGTGCCTTTCACATCAGGAGCATAATAATCCATGCATTTGATACAGCACCTTATCACATTGTTGAGTTTTCTCAAAAGTGTTTCACAGAATATACTGTAGACTGACTATCTTGTGAGCAAAATGCAGCAGCAAGTTGCACACAGCAGTGTCCCTAAACTAGTCATGGATTGTGTGACCAATTTCTTTTGATAATTACACCGAAAAGCAATCCACCAATCGGTAAACAGATGCATGTGGAGTAAGTGATCTTGCCTGAGGTTTTGCTCCTCCCCACTCCCCCAAGGAATCAAACCCACGTCCTTGCTTGTGAGGCTCGTGCTCTATCCACTATTCTATGGGACTCCAAGATGTCTGAGCTTCAAAGGATATACTGTAGTTACAATATTTTTGTAAGTGGACAGTAGCAGCTAATTCGCACCCAGTGACTTATCACAAAATGGGACAGAGTAAAACTGTAGGCAAGTTTCCTTACTCCGCATACCTCTATTTACTTAGCAGTAAGTAGGAACCAGCTTATTAGTTGATTGGCGGATCACTTTTGGTGGGCAATAATCCTTTCAAAATAATAATGTGGTCACTTAATCCATGACTGTTTGTGGGACTTCGCTGTGCACAACAACTGGCTGCCGTGTTTCACCCTACAAAACAGTCACTACACTTCACAGTGTATCCTGTGAAGCACTTTGAGATGTCTCAAAGATGTGATAAGGCAC